TGCAAGTGTAAATGTGATAAATTAAAGTATTTGAAAACAACTTTGCAAAGCAAAGCAGCACCTCAGTTGACAGGACTTTTATAAGAGATTCTAGTCAAAGGGTTTATTTCGGTTTAAAAAAAGTCACATTTTCTGGTTCACTCAAAGATAAATTAGAAAAAGGAAATAGAAATTCAGAGATAGTAAGAACTGCCGATGCTGGAGTCAGAGATAACAAGGTGTGGAGCTGGAGGAACACAGCAGGCCAGGGAGCATCAGGGGGAGCAGGAAAGCTGACGTTTCAGGTCGGGACCCTTCCTCAGAAATAGGGGAGGGGAGTTGGGCAACAGGCTGGTTGGGATCCTTGGGAACCTCCCTGGTGCAGGGTATAGTCTTATTTGTTGTAGTAATTCTTATTTCGTATTGTTTGCTTTTATTAATCAAATGTTGTTGCCAACAGGTGGCGTCTGCCCTAGGCCTGTAGGTGAGGCTGCCATTCTTATTGGTGAACGTTTAATCCCGAACAAAGGCATAATTTGCTGGAAAATCTCAGCAGCTCTGGCAACACCTGTAGGCTACAAAGCAGGGTGAACGGTTCATGCCCAGTGACCCTTCTTCAAAACTGCCATTTGTTCTGGTTTTTTAAAACAAAAGTTTTGGGTTTTGTTGAATCTGCCAGCCCATTATTTGGATTTGAATATGGTTTTGCTGCATTTTTGGGTGTCACTATAGAGCGTTGGAGCTTGAACAGTGGCTCTGTGTCAGTGTATGGTACAAAAACCTACTTCTGATCAAAGCAGAAAGCAGCAGATATTGGCGATCTGAAAGAGAGACAGAGAATGCTAGAGCAACAGCAATCTAGAAGCTTCTGTGGAAAAGAAGAAAGGAGTTAACATTTAGAATCTGATATGACTCCTTCAGAACTCTTTCCCCCACTTCCCCCGAGGCAGAGTGATGGGCCCTGATGGTGTGTGGGGTTGCTAATTGGGGTGAAAAAGATGTTGACATAGATGCAAGATAAGCCGCCAATGGGTCCTTTTTAACTGACAGCGAAGTAAACAAGACACAGACTATGTTAGAGATAGTAGGAACTGCAGAAGCTGGAGAATCTGAGATAACAAGGTGTAGAGCTGGATGAACACAGCAGGCCAAGCAGCATCAGAGGAGTAGGAAAGCTGACGTTTCAGGCCTAGACCCTTCATTAGCCCAGTCTGAGAAAGGATCACTCGACCCAAAACGTTAACTCTGATTTCTTTCCACGAATGCTGCCAGACCTGCTGAGCTATTCCAGCAATTTCTGTTTTTGAACAACCAACATGAGCCGGTGGGGGTGTGTGTGGCAGTTTTGGGGGAAAATGGAGACCAGACACCATGCGGTCAGTTTCTGAAGTCGTGGGACTTAAAAGTGAGATCTTGAGGCTGTAAAGCTCCCAAGTGGAATATGAGATGCTTGCGTTGTGCTTGGTTGGAAAAGTGGAGTGAGCTCCAGACAGAAATGTTCACTTGAGAGCGAGATGGTTTATTGAAATGGCAAGTAACTGGGACGTCAGGGTTATTCCCACAGTCAGAAGGGAGATGTTCCACAAAGAGTTCCCACCTGTTGTTGTAAGTTTTACAACATCATCGTTTTGCAGATAAAGATTTGAACCTTGCATTAATTGAAAGTTACTGTTTTAATTCTCTGTGAGCTGGATATCACCATAACAAGGGCTTTCGGGCTGTTGCCCAGGGCTTGGTGACAATTCCCTCACCCTCTGAATCAGAAAGTTGTGGGTTTATGTCTCACTTCAGCATGCAGGATGTGGGCTGACAATTCTGCACCGTATCGAGGGGAAAGCTGCATTGCTGGGGTGCCTGAGGGCTCTGTCAAACAAAGGCATAGAGGCACGAGGAACAAGACACTTTTCGAGCCTGCTCCACCATTCCACGTGACCAAGGCTGATCGTCCAACTCCGTCCCTGTTCCCCGCTTTCTCCCGGCAGCCTTTGATCCCTTTAGCCCTAAAAACTCCATCTGCCTCCTTCTTGAAAACTTTAAACAACAGGCATGTTTGGTGGAGAATGCAAAGCAAGGGCCACATCTGCCTGTTTAGGTGGAAGTGGGGGAAAAATAAGGGTGTTCCTCTGGGCTCTTGGCTAGTGCCCATTCCTAAACCAACTTATCGCCAAGTCACATCAACTTGTCTATTAGATTGCTGTTTGTAAAAGATGCTGTGATTTGTCATATTTCCTTTTTTTTTGTAGTAGTTGAAACAACTCAAAATTAAACCATTCCGGGGTCCCGAGATGTGAAAGGCACAATTTGTTTTTTTTTATTTTGCGTGTTGCTGGTGCATTTTATGTATGAATGAGTACGGGTATTTTCCATTAATGGTCAGCTCTGTTTTGTCCAACACTTAACATTGTTTCCAATTGCTTATTTAATTCTTGCAGCTGCATATGTGGTGCTGAACTTGGAGAAAAACCAGGAAGCCCTGAGTTAGCAAGTTTCAGACTAATGTCCTGTTGCAACACTGTCTTTTTGACAATGTTGTACTCCATGCCATGAGGTGTTTATAAGGAAAGTGAACAAGCAGTTTTCAACAGAGCATGCTGGAGAAACTCGGCAGGTCTGGCAGCATCTATGAAGAGACAAATAGAGTTAACATTCTGAAGAAGAGTCTCATTGGACTTGAAACGCTAACTCTGTTTCTGTCTCCTGATGCTGCCAGACCTGCTGAGTTTCTCCAGCATGCTCTGTATTTATGCCCGACCTCCACATTTTTGCTTTTAATTAGGAAGTCCTAAGCAACCGAGCCACGACCTAGCAGCTCACAGGTCAGCAGAGATTTTGTCGAAGGGGTTTTAAGGAGCATCTTTTTTGGAGTTTGAGAATGGGAGCAGTTTAGGGAGTGACCTTTCGGAATTTGGGACAGGGATAGCTAAAGGTGCAGGCTCTGCCTATGGAAGGGATCAAGCTGGAGAGGTCGGAGTGCAGGCACCTCAAAGTTATGGGTTGAAGGAGATGATGGAGTTAGGATGTGGATTGGCCTGGTGGGGGGGGGGGGACCTGATAACAAGGATAAAAATGGCAGCATCAAGGTGTTGTCTGTTGTATCTATTAGGCACCTCTAATTGCCCCACGAGGAGTGCTTAGGGGCTGCAGTCTCTTTGATGTCAGTCCAGCCGCAGGGCTATTAGTAAGACTCTGCCTGAATCCAGGGGCAATGAGGGAGCAGCAGAGTATTCCCCAGGAAGGAAGATGCGAAACTTGCTCCTTTGCAACATGGACTACAGCAATCGAGAAGCGAGTCTCCTGAACTGACTTTGATTTATATATTATTGTCACACATGCCTAGGTACAGTGAAAAGTTTTTTGTTTTGCATGCAGTACAGACAGATTACACCATACAAAGTGCATTAGGGTAATAGCGAGGAATACAATGTTATGGCTGCAGAGAAGGCGCACAAAGAGCGAGATCAACATTTAAATTTAACGTTCAGCAGCCTAATACCAACGGGGAAGAAGCTGTTCTTGAATCTGTTAGTATGTGTATGCTTTTGTATCTTCTGCCCGATGGAGGAGATTATAACCGGGGTGGAAGGGCTGTCTGATGTTGGCAGTCTTCCCGACGCAGCGAGGTGTAGATGGAGTCAATGGATGGAAGCCTGGCAAGGGAAACCTGGAGGCTTGTAGGTGGTAAAGTCCCCATTTATCTGCTGCCTTTTGTTATTCTGGGTGAAAGAGGTCATTGGGGTTGGAGGGTGCAGTTTAAAGGAGGCTCGGTGAATTTCTGCATCTTGTAGATAGTAGTACACACTGCTAGAGGAAGCATGTGGAATCGCTTAGCAAAAATAGTCTCAACAATAAATCAAAAGAGGCATGGAATGAAATGTAGAAATATAGATTAACAGGTTGAAAAGAGTAGAGATTCATTAACAGATGCAGCAAAATCCTGGAATTCCCTCCCTGAGGGCATTATGGATCAACCCACAGCACATGGACTGTAGTGGTTGAAGGAGGCAGTTCACCCCCCAGCCCCCCCTTTTTACCCCCACCCCCCCCCCCCCCAACAAAACCTTCTCAAGGGCAGGAAATGCTGACCCAGCCAGTGATGCCCACACTCCACAAGTGAATAAGTAGAAAAAGATACGAGCCACTTTTTTATTTCCCTAAGCATTGAAACATTTCTGAGGGGTGTATGTATCCTGTCTGTGTTGTCTGGAGTTACCTGGGCTGTTAGTGTGTATAGAACATTTAGACATTCTATAGTGTCGCTGTGTGCTATGTCATGGAGGTGTAGGATGTGACTGTGCACAGTGAGATCCCTTGTCTTGGCGATGAGTGCATGTCGCTTGTGGAGGAGAGTTCCAGCTTTGCCCACCGTGAGTGTGTGTGTTGTGTGCGTGTCTGTTGTATAACTATAGACCCCGCCCATCCCCGTAACTTCGATCTGATGTAAGGGGTGCTAACTCTCGGCCCCTGAGGTCCCAGCAACTTGCAAGCACCGTAATGGGGTCATGATGAGAAAGAGGCACTGCCGCAAACTCAATACAACCAGACTCTGTTGAGTGATGCGAACAACATGGGTTCAGTTCCCATCACCAGCTGAGGTTCCCATGAAGGACTCTCCTCTTCAACCTCTCCCTTCACCTGAGGCCTGGTGATCCTCCAGTCGTCTCTCTCGAATGAGAGAGTGGGGCTATGGCAACCTTATTTTTACCATAAACGTGGCATGTGTATTGTAGCTCAAAGGTGCCGCAGTACTAGCAAGGCTAATATCGCAGGAACAGACTGGTTGTCTCCATTAAATGAGGAAATGACGTGCGTAGAAGTGGAAAATTCATCTTTATTTTCAGAAATTGAAACGTTAGAAAGAAAGGAACTAACACGTTTTGTTCTTTACAATTGACTTACAAATCACAGATCACAAGGATATTCCATGAGAAAAACAATGTCAACAGAGCAGATTTCATCGCCTTCTGGAACGTCCGTCTTTGAGTTTGTGATCCTCTGTAACTTTTAGTCTTGTTTATCCCCAGACTGCCTTTTCAAAGTGTGTCCCATGAACCGGTACTCAGCGCAGAAACAGTTCTGGAAAGCAAAGCAGTCGAAACAAGGCAATACCGAAGCTGCACTGTTGGGAAAGTTACAGGTACCCCATTGCACTTACGGATTTGTGTGCGCTTTCATCTGGTGTTCTCTTGCCCTGTTCAGTTTGAGTTTCGCTTCTAGGACCCGATTTAGCGAGTTGCTCCCGCCAACGTTGACCAGAGAGGATGCATGTATCACCAGGATGGTGACTGTTTGCCACTCTGCCCACCAGTGTCTCTCTCAGAGAGCATCTAGTGTTCAGCTCCCAGGCACAGTGGGGCACGCAAGAAAATTGCGAGGCAGTGATAGTGGCGTGGAAGCCCTTGCAGCTAACAGAACAGCAGAGGGAAGGGCTAAGAGGAAAATGAAGCGGAAATATGTGTTAAAGGTAGATGAAGAAAGGTGTAGAAGCAGAAGTCCTCTTTCGCACAGACTTCTAGGATATTATGTGATAGAATTGCCAGAGCAGATACCTGCTTGGAGAGAGTTCTGCAACAAAACGAGCACAGGGGGAGGCAGTGGACTCATGATATTATCACTAGACTATTAAACCAGAGACCTAGGTGATGTTCTGGGGATCGAGGGTTCAAATCCCACAGTGGCAGATGGTAGGGTTTGAATTCAATAAAAATCTGGAATTGAGAACCTAATGATGAATAGGAATCTGTTGTTGATTGTCGGGGGGGGGCGAGAAAAACCCCATCTGGTTCACTAATGTCCTTAAGGGAGGGAAATCTGCCATCCTTACCTGGTCTGGCCTAAATGCAATGTGGTTGACTCTTAACTGCCCTGTGGGTAATTAGGGATGGGCAATAAATGCTGCCTGGCCAGTGATGCCCTCATCTCCTGAATGAATTTTTATTAAAAAATTGGGAGTGGCAGCACATTCAAGGGTTTTGGAGAGGAAAGAGAGGTTGGCAATGGGATTCACAGACGTGGGGGTTCCAGGAAAGGAACTTGGGTGGTCACCACGTTATTGGAGATAAGGTTAAAGAGAGCAGGATATGGGTCTCCTGGCCAAGGTGAGCTCACAGCAAGGGCTTGAGAAGGACAGGACAGGACAGAAATAGAAAAAAGAGCTGGGTTCAGGACTTGGGTAATGGGCGTTCTGAGAGAAATATGGCTAGGTTGTCTAGCGCAAGGGAGGGAATGTAGTGGAGGCAAGTTCCCTTGAACAAACTGAGCAGATCATGGTGGGGATACTGTGAGTGTGATTGTAAATGATCTGAGGAGAGATTTTCCAGGGTGGATACTGAAAGTAGGGTTTGGAGAGGGAAATAGGGTACAAATGGGGAAAGATACAAGGAATTGATCAGAGGCCTGAGCTCTGATACTGTAGCAGTAGTGACTGCCCAGTAGGTGGCTGTGATTTATGCCTGGGGATTTTCCATAGAGACAAAGAGAAGATATGAGGGCAATGATATAGAGACAGCGAGGATGCATCGACATAGTCGAAATCACGGAGCATGTGAAACTGTTTTGTGCACTGGTTGAAGGAGAAAAGCAGCAAATGTAGCTTCGTGAGAAAACTGAGATGGAGTTTGGTGGAGGGCTTAAGGAACAAGGTGTTTAAGTGGGAGCTGAATGGGTTGGGTGAAGGTGAGGTGCTCATAGATGGAGAAAGTGCTTAAGAAGGAAGGGGCAGGACTTGAGGTGTAATTCGGCGATCCAGGAGGTAAAAGACCAGGAACCCCCTGTCTGACAATGGTGTAAACTGTTGTATAGGTGTAAAGTATACTATTGGTCAGCAGTGAAATGATCAGGAACGCATTACCAGAAAGGATTCAGTAGCAACTTAATAATTTAAACTGGATATATTTTTGAGAAGGAACCCAACTCCAGGACTGAGGGGGAAGAGCTGGGAGTGATCTGAAAGCAAGTACAGTGCGCTAGCATACTAATGGTTGGCTGAATGATCTCTCAGTCCCTGCGCTGAGTGTTCTTTGTCATGTGAAGGTCATTTGAAACAGCATGAATGTGTTTTCCAGCAAGCAGCAGAACTGGAGCAGAAACAGAATGAGATAGAGAACAGGAAGCTGCTCGGGGAGGTGGTGAAGTATAGCAATGTTGTTCAGGTGAGTTACCTCTTCCTTGCTCGTTGCATGCGTCAGCTTCCTCAGCTCAAAGACTTTCATTGGGTCGTAGCCTAGAAGAGCTTGGTAGGGGACTGGATACTCCAGTGAGGAGTGGCTCATCATCTGATTCATAGACACCAACATGTCATTGTCACCGAGACTGGAGCAAATCTGTGTGATCATCATTATCACATACCTGGTCCCTGCCTCAAAGTGACCTTTTCTGTATCTCTCTATCCAGTGCCATCCTTTCCATCTGCCAATGACATCCATCAATGAGGAGGAGATGGTGGCCTTGAGGTAATATTGCTGGACTAAGTCATCCAGAGGCCCAGGCTATTGCTCTGAGACCACCGATTCAAATCCCACCATAGATGTTGGTGGAATTTGAACTAAAGTAATAAAAAATATCTGGGTTTGAAAGCTAGTCTAAGTGATTGTGACCACGAACCTGTCACTGATTGTTTTAGGATCATCATCTGGTTAACTCATGTCCTTCAGGGAAGGACATTTTATCATCCTCACATGGTCTGGCCTACATGTGACTCCAGACCCACAGCAATGTGGGTGACATGTAATTGCCCTCAGGGCTGCTGAGTTCAAGGGCAGTTAGGGTTGGGTGATAAATAGCCAGTGATACCCACATCCCATGGAAGTCTATTCAGTCCGTCTGTTATTCACATTCTCTTCCTTCCCTGAAGTCTCCACCCACATAGAGTCGTACAGCATGGAAACAGACCCTTTGGTCCAACTCGTCTGTACTAAGTTTCCTCTTGAAGTGTACTTTCCCTGAGCAGATTTCTCTGTTCGTGCACTCCCAGTTTTGCGTTTCATCCTCTACTCTTCTCTTCTCTTCTGTCCTGTGGGTCCTTTCTATTCACCTCCAAACCTGTAGTCCCGTCCTGTCTGAAACTCCTGGCTATTTATCGCAAGTGCCTCGCACTGAACAGAGGCAAAAAAAAAAAAACTGCCGAGCCAGAGAAGGCGATGTTAAAGGGAGGATGGTGGTTGGTGGGGTGGGGGAAAGAGGTCAAACTCTCAGTCAAAGGTCAACTATATGTGGCAGAGGTGGCAAGAGAGAGAGCGTTAGCGATGTAACTCCCGTGTGTAGGACTGAGGGAAGCTGAAAGAATGGCTATCAATGGTGGTTGAAGAGGGGGGTACTGCACAAGAGAGGGACAAAGTTGGTGGAATTGAAAGTAAAGGATGTGTATGGAATTAGTCTGTCTTTGGATTAACGGAACGGTCCATTGTTTGATGTCCTTGTGTCATTTTGACTGCAGTTACTGCACATAAAAAGCAACAAATACCTCACAGTCAACAAGAGGTTACCAGCCCTCCTGGAAAAAAATGCAATGCGAGTCTCCTTGGACATTTCTGGCAATGAGGGCTCCTGGTTCTACATTCAACCTTTTTGGAAGCTGAGGAGCGAAGGTGACAATGTAAGTCTGATTAACATTCATTAAACGCTGCATAACACTCCTCAACTGCACTGACCAACACAGCCTTCTCCGACTTGCCTCTACACTCTCCTCCTCCTCTTCCTCCTCCTGTTTTTAACCGAAGGTAGGGCTCCACATTTCCAACCGGGACTTCGGCATCTGGCCCCCTCCAGAATGGTGGGGGTGGAAAAGTCACAAAATCCCTTCTTAAACGTACTCTGCTAAGTCTCCCCTCTCTCTAACATGCTGAAACACTTGGGGATGTTTCAGTAGGTTTTTTGTGTGTGTGTGTAAGTGGTACAGTTGGCAGGGTGATTTTGGATGACGGTATTGGGTGGGGTTGGGGGTGTCATATGCTGAGGGGTGTGGTGTCACATGGTACACGGAGAGTTGAGGAGGTGGGGATCTGTTGTATGGATACCCAGCTGTTGGAGCAGGTTTGAGTCTGTCCTGTATTTACCAGGTTACTCCAGGTAAGTAAGTCCTCCCCCTCCCCAAAAGCCTCCAATGTAGAGTCCGAGACATTTGCACGGGGTTCTGGGAGCTGGGCAAATGCACACTGGAAGGTTAATCTTTCTGGAATCTCCTGTTGAGTTGATGCATTGGGAGAGATCCCGATGTTTGTCTTTAACCACCTTTAAGTTATCAACCATCTGGAAACTAGGAGATCTGGCTCTGAAGTTATATCGATCCCTGATGTTGTTCCTCACTCTGGGATTCTCCATGTTGGGACAAGAGAAACAAAAATAGGCCTTTCAGCCTCTTGAACCAGCCCTTGCCCACTATTCAATTTACATCAGAACAGGGTCACTGGACCCAAAATGTTAACTCTGGTTTCTCTTCACAGCCAGACCTGCTGAGCTTTTCCAGCAACTTCTGTTTGTGTTCCTGATTTACAACATCCACAGTTCTTTTGGTTTTAATCCAATTTACATGATGGCTGATTCGTACCTTGCTTCCCATCCCTTCATCCAACAACAATGCATTGGTCATTTTATTCCTTGGGTTCTGGCATGGGATAATTTGTTTTTGTCTGTCTGGCATGGGATAATTTTTTTTTGTTATAACGAGGTTTGACTCCAACATGTGGTGTGGGGCTGGAGTCACGTGTAATCCATGTCGCTTGGTATGGGGTGGCAGTAACGTCCCTTGAAGGGCACGAGTGAACTTGTCCCATTGCTGACAGAACCGCCAACAAGTTTTCCCTCTCGGCATTCCAGGGTTCACAGTGCCCTGGACTCATCGAGTCTCTTTTTCACAATTTTCTGGTTGACTTCCTGGTTGTTCACCGCTTGGTACTGGAGCATCTCGAACATGGACCTTGTCGAGGTACCCACCGAGGATCTGTGAAGACTGACTGACTGTGCATTCTCTCTCTCAAGCTTTTTATTCTTAAAAGGCAAGCAATCCAGATATCATCACTGGGAGCAAGGAAGCTGCTGTTGGCTCGATTGGACACCAGGCAGTGGTTTGTGGTATTTAGGAAGGAATACTACCAGGGACTGACGTCCCTCCTGAAGCCTGATTGTTCTTCACCACCAGTTACTGATGGTTCCCATCTGAAGTGATAGCTCTGATCAGTAAGATTAGTCCATTGGCCTGACACTGACTGAAGTGACACTCCTGTGAGCCAGCTACTGAGTGATGCACAGAGCTCAACAAACAGACTACTGCTGCTTGTGCCCACACCACTGATTTTGAAGGAACATATTGACCTCTCGTGGGACACTCGAATGTGGGAACATGATGAATTTGTCAACAGTTTTTATCCTTCTGGAGAACGTGTCATGTGCATGTGATTAGTGATTCCTTTTGTAGCAATATTGATGAATCGAAACCAGTCCCATGGTAGCACTTTATTTAAACACTGCCCCTCCATTTTGAAGGCTCGTTACTGAGACTGGTTTACTGACTGGTTCAGAATAGTTCCACAATTGTCATGGAGCAGACCTAGGTTTGTGATAACCAGGTGTAGAGCTGGATGAACACAGCAGGCCAAGCAGCATCGTAGGAGCAGGAAGGCTGACGTTTCGGGCCTAGACCCTTGTGATGTGTTGTTGGTCAACTCTGTACGGGTTCATCCCCTCTGTGGTAGCACACATGGGGAGTCATGGCCAAGTATCTGGGGAGAGCAGCATCTGAGGGTTTTTGGGGTGAATATCCAGGTGGAGGCACGAATCTGGGGAGAGGAGTGGGAGGAAGGGGGCGATTAGGGTGCCAGAGGTTACAGGGGTGTCTAAGACAGTGGAACAGGAGTGCAGCAGTGGAAGAGGAGAATGGTGAAGTGGGAGGGATGGCTGAGGGAGAAGAGGAGAACAGCGGGACGGAGAGGTGGAACAAATGGAGTGGGAGTGGTTTTGAATACTGGACGTTGGGGGGGTGCGAGTCAGAAATAATTATCATGTAGTGCGAGGGGGACAGTGGTGATAAGGGTCTGGTGGAAAGGAGACTGGGATCAGGGTAGGTGGATAAAAGACTGCTCGATGTGGAGGGGGTGACTGTGTGGCTTAGTTGGAGACACTGGATATGTGGGGAGGTGAGGCTACCTGATATACTGTTCGCTGCCAATGGTGGGGGGTGCTAATGAGGTAAGGGGCAGGAGGAAGCACAGAGTTTGTCGGGGGGAGTGGTGGTTTGGGAGGACAGACCGTGGGAGAAACTTGGTTTTGTCTGAGGAATTTTCATCGAGCTTCCATTAATCTGAAGTGGCCCTGTCACAGAAGAATGTTTTGGGAATGGCGGAATGTAGAAAGTTAGTATGGGGGGTGAGATTATGGTGGGGTGGTCACTAAGGTGGGAAAGGTTTAGTGTGGATGGGAAAGGTCCTGGGATGGGGATGATAAGAGGGCACAAAGATTGTGTCCAGATGAGAATCAGAGAGACCTGACCAAGTCGGAAAGTGCGGGATGATGAGGTTCAAAGTAGCTTGCATGTCGCTTTGGCCTGTTAAAACTTTGTGTCTTCCCAACCCATACCATCAGAGTTACAGTCTGACCTCGATGTTGCAATGTTTCGGAGCAACATTCAATAACTAGACCCTGCAGTGTAAAACAATGAGCTCCCACTTATTTAAAGGCTATTATTTTATTAAGTAATATAATATGAAATTTTGACATTGAAAATGCCTTTTACAGCACTGCCTAGGGGGCGTAATTGGTACTGCAGTAAGGTGTTGGAAGTAAATGGGTCTGTGGAATGGATTTAAATGCCACCAGCTGCCACAGAGAGATTTGAACCAGTGATTGACCTGTGATATTACCGTTCTGCCACTGACTCCTCCTATACCTTCAATACAACAGTAAAATTGTGACTTGATGATAATGAGAAAGTTTGGCGATGTGTATCAGTCACCTGCTTTCGTTTTTACTTCTGGTCTGTAGGTGGTTGTGGGAGATAAAGTGGTTTTAAATCCGGTCAATGCTGGACAACCGTTACATGCCAGCAATCAGGAATTACTGGATAACCCCGGCTGCAAGGAGGTAAGTCCAAACAGGCCGACTGTTAGTGAACTGCTGGGTCATCTGTTGACTGAGATAACCAGAACCTTTCTGTTTAAATATCAGGTGAATGCATTGAATTGCAACACAAGTTGGAAGATTGCTCTGTTCATGAAACACAGTGATTATCGGGACGATGTCCTTAAAGGGGTCAGTGACTATCCTCATTTCTAGCTCCCTTTTAGCTGTCAACCCGTCCTTTCTTCGTTTTGTTTTGTTTTGTCTTGCGGCTGGACTTAGCATCGCTGTGATGTAACCACTCTGATGCTGTGAATCTGCAGGGTGATGTGGTGAGGCTGTTCCATGCGGAACAGGAGAAGTTCCTCACCTGTGACGAGTACAAGAAGCAGCAACACATCTTCTTGAGGACCACCCTGAGGCAGTCCGCTACCTCTGCGACCAGCTCCAAAGCACTGTGGGAGATTGAGGTAAAATCCTGGGGCTCAAATCGGCATAATATACAGATATATTGTTGAGAATTCTCTCTTAACTCCTGATCTAATGGCTTAACTCTGCGTTTTTTTTTTAGGGAGGTTTGAAAGACTAGAGGATTACCTCATAGAATCCCTACAGTGTGGAAAAAAGCCATTCGGCCCATTGAGTCCACACCAATCCTCCTGAAGAACATCCCTACCAGATCCACACCACGCCCCCTCCCCATGACCCTGTATTTCTCATGGCCAATCCATCCAACCTGCACATCCCTGGACGCTACGGGCAATTTAGCCTGGCCAATCCACCCTGGCCTGTACCCAGAGGGAATCCTGCACAGACACAGGGAGAATGTGCAGACTTCACACAGACAGTCACCCAAGGGTGGAATCGAACCCAGGTCCCTGGTGCCATGAGGCAGCATTGCTAACCACTGAGCCACCGTGCCGCCCAAAAAAGCAATCTGTCGTCGTTGCCAGAGATAGTAGGAACTGCAGATGCTGGAGAATCTGAGATAACAAGGTGTAGAGCTGGAGGAACACAGCAGGCCAAGCAGCATCATAGGAGCAGGAAAGCTGATGTTTCAGGCTTGGCCTGCTGTGTTCCTCCAGCTCTACACCTTGTTATCGTTGTCGCCAGGTTGTTTTATGCTGGACTGTTCCTGGGGTTTTACTTTATCGATCAGCTCTGTGGGTGTGCCCATGTTCAGTGTGGGTGGCGTGCACCCTAATGTGCCCAGTCTCCATATAAATAACCGTCAGACCCAGACATCAGTGTAAGCACATTGTGCTGTACGTGAATGGATTGTGAGTGTATGGTGTGTTCATCTCCATTCAGAAAGAAACATTGAACTGTTAACCCAGAATGAGACTCTGGTTCCAAACTAGCTAAGATTTTTGTTGGAAGTTTCCGAGCCCAATGAACTGTAGACAATTAAAAACAAAGAAGAGTGATAGGGTTAAACCAGGAAACCGTGCGCCAGTGAGTCTAATGTCAGTGCTGGAAAAACAAATGGAAAACATTGAGAGACTGAATTAATATCCACTCAGAGAGGCAAAGATTATTGAAGAATACTCAGCGTGCCTTCTGTGAGGGGACGTCATGTTTAACAAATGTGACTGAATTTTTCAGGGAGGGGTCTCAGTGTATAGATGTGGTTGATGTAATCTGTATGGGCTTCATTAGGGCTTTTAGCAAGGTCTCATGGCAATCTGGTTAAGAAGCGACGAGCCCATAAGATCCAGGGAAATCTGACAAACGGGATCCAAAATTGGCTCAGTGGTGGGAAGCAGAGGGTGATGGTCAAAGGGAGTTTTTTGTGACTAGGGTCTGGTGCTGGGTCCCTTACTGTTTGTTGAGTACATTAATGACACGTGAGCATCAGAGGCATGATCAGTAAGTCTATAGATGACACACAAGCTGGTGGTATGATAAATAGTGAGGAGGAAAGTGTTAGACTACAGGGCAACATAGACAGGCTGGTCAGATAGGCAGAACAGTGACAAATGGAATTTCATCTGGAAAAGTGCAAGGTGATGCATTTTGGAAGAACTAATAAGGTAGGGGAGTACGTATTGTATAGTAAGACCCGAGGAACTACAGAGGGTCAGAGAGACCTTGATGTGCTTGTCCATCGATCCTTGAAGCAGGATGGGTGGGTCATGTAGTTAAGAAGGCACATGGGCTACTTGTCTTTATTAGTCAAGGCATAGAATACAAGAGCAGGGGAGTTAAGATAGAGCTGTATATAACATTAGTTAGGCCACAGTTTGAGGACTGTGCGCAGTTCTGGTCGCTATAGGGAGGACGTGATTGCACTGGAGGGGGTGCAGAGGAGATTTTCTGGGCTGGAGTGATTCAGTTCTGGAGAGAGGTGAGATGGACAGGCAATGTTTTCCTTGGAGCAGAGAAAGCTGAAGGAGTCGGGGGGTGGTTTTCATTGAGGGGCATAGCCAGGGAGAAAGTTCTCCCCATTAGCAGAGGGGTCAATAACCAGGCAGCACAGTTTCAAAGATAAGGAGCAGGAGCTTTAGAGGGGATTTAAGGAAGAGGTTTTCCACGCAGAGGGTGGTGGGTATCTGGGGCTCATTGCCTGTTAGGGGATAGAGGCAAGACATTGAAGAAGTGTTTAGACGAGCACTTGAAATGTTACAAAACTACAGGCCAAGTGTTGGAAAATGGGACGGGAACCAATGAATGTTTGAATACATAATGGACCAGAGGGTCGGTCTCTGTGCTGTAAAAACTTTGACTCTAAAGCAGCCCGCTTGATTGGCACCCCATCCTTGACACTGTAAACATTCACACTCCCCTCCACCACTGACAATTAATAGCAGCAATGTTTACCTTCTGCAAGATGCACTGCAGCAACTCACCAAGACTCCTCCTTCAACAGCACCTTCCAAACCCATCACCCCCACTGGCAGGAAATACAAGGATAGCAGAGACCTTCGAACATTCCCATTAACAGGCTTCCCTCCGAACCACACACCACCCTGGCTTATAACCAAACGTACAGCATAGGAGCTGAACCAGGCCATTCGGCCCCTCGAGTCTAGTCCGCCCTTCAATAAAATTCTATCCGGTGTGGGTGTGTTCTGAATTCCCATCTACCCTGATAACCTTTGACCCCTGCCCAGCAAGACTCCATGGACCTCGCCCTTAGAAAAATATTTAGTGGCCTGACTCCCACCAGCTTCTGAGACAGACCATTCCAAAGTTCTACAGCCCTCTGAGGTGAAAACATTCTCTTCCCCTCATTTCTTAAAGGGCTCCCCTAATTTTCTTTTAAAGAGTAAAGGAGGTGGGACTTGGAGCTGTATCACCGTTCCTTCAGTGTTGCTGGGTCAAAGCCCTGGAACTCCCTCCCTAGTTGCCCTTGAGAAGGTGGTGGTGAGCTCCTTCTTCATCCGCTGCAGGTAGACCTTAGGGAAGGAATTCCAGGATTTTGACCCAGCGACGGTGAAGGAACAGGCGATATGTTTCTGAACGAGGACGGGGAGTGCCTTGGAAGGGAGCTTGCAGGAGGTGGTGTTCCCATGTATCTGCTGCCCTGGAAATAAAGGTTGTGTTAAGATGGAGACACAGCCTCTTGAAGAGAACTTAGTGACCTGTGTTTTGGAGGTGAATTAGCAACATATTTAAGAACCTTAATGTTTTGGCCACTCTCTCCCGGGTGCAATTGCCTTGCCTTGCCTTGCCCACCCTTGGCCCAGCACATCTTTGAGTATGAGCCTCACAGACTGTCATTAACAATACAAAATTCAGGTTTAAAATTCAGCACAAAATAAAAAAAAAACACAATCGTAAGCAGCACATTTCTCTTATAATTCGAACAGGAGCAACATTTTCCTTAATCGTGCTTTTTGGTGGGTATATTCCAGGAGCTCTTGCTCTCACGCATGAACATAGCTGATGAGCCTAATTGTTAAATCATGCTCGAAGCTCAATGGCCATCTTAATGTCTTTCATTTTTTTGATGTCCTGTTGTTTATGGTGGGAGTGTTCCCTGTGTATATACTCAGCTGTTCTCTCCTTTACAGGTGGTGCACCATGACCCATGTCGAAGTGGAGCTGGACACTGGAACAGCCTGTTTAGGTTCAAGCATCTAGCGACGGGGAATTACTTGGCTGCTGAGGTAGGGTGGGTGTACAGTAAAATACCAGCTCGGCACTGACACCAAGTGTTTATGACACAGTAAATGCACCATTTGGTGGCAATGGTTTACTTTGAGCACATGTGTCTCTCACCTTCGGGAAGGTTCTGACTGCATCCTGAACACACTCTACTGCCCGTCGGCTTTCTCACTTCAAACCAGAAACTGCTGGAGAGAGAAACAGAATTAATGGCTCGAGTCCAGTGACCCTTTTATTTTAATGTTTTTATTTCAGATTTTTATTTACATGAACCATAGAATCCCTACAGTGTGGAAACAGGCCCTTCAGCCCAACAAGTCCACACAGAACCTCAGAGCATCCCACCCGGACCCATCCCCCTATAACCCACCTAATCTACACATCCCTGAGCACTACGGACAATTTAGCATGGTCAATCCACCCTAACCTGCATACCTTTGGACTGTGGGAGGAAACCAGAGCACCCGGAGGAAACCCACACATACACGGGGAGAATGTGCAAACTCCACACAGTCACCTGAGGGTGGAATTGAACCCAGGTCCCTGGCACTGTGAGGCAGCAGTGCTAACCACTGAGCCACCATGCTGCCCACTTTAGACCTGACCTCTTTAGACATCAAGAGGGAGTACTGAAGGAGAATCATGGTGGACTTGAACCATTAACTCTCCTCCTCTCTCTTCTCAGATGCTGCCCAACCTGCCAAGTGTCTCCAGCATTTTCTGCCTCTGTTTGTTGCTGTTTGAGCTCGAGTGGAGTGCACCCTGGCTCAAAAGGAGCACACAGCAGTCTCTCTTTAAACATGTCCTGTTGAGCTGCTGTGTGCCAATCCCTTTCAATACTGTCTTCTGTATTTCACAGAGTTCCTGCTAAGATGTTATTTCTAAGTGTCTGCTCTCCTGATTCAAATCCAAACTATTTGAAAAGTCAAAACCTTGGTTAGGATTTTCCCAGTGGGTGTCTGTGAGGAAGGTGAGCGGGTCAGGAGGCTGTGGGAAAAGCAGCTTACTGTGATTTTCTGCCAATTGGCTAAGTTATGGTCAGAGGACAGACTCCCTGTCCAACAAAAGACAGCAAGCAGTCCCTGGGAGACACTCCCAGGCTGATTCACCCGGAGAGGAGCAGCTGGTTATCGCTGGCAATTCAGGGAGTCTCCCTCCCCGATTCTCCCACAGCCTTCCACCGCCACCACCCCCCCCCCCCAACCCCCACCGCCCTCCCTTCCCCTTGTATTTGGCACACTTGCCTTCATCCATCATAGCATTGAGTATCAGAGTTGGGGTGTCATGTTACAGGCTGTACAAGACATTGGTGAGGCCACTTTTGGAGTACTGTGTACAATTCTGGTCACCCTGCTAAAGGAAGGATGTTATTAAAGTGGAAAGTGAGCAAAAAAGAAGACTTAACAAGGATGTTACCGAGACTGTAGGGTTTGATTTATAAGGATAGGTTGGATAGGCTGGGAGCCGAGGAGGCTGATGATTGACGTTAGAGAGGTTTAGGAAATCATGAGGGGCATAAATAGAATGAATAGCCAATATCTTTTCTCCAGGGTAGGGGAGTCCAAAACTGGAGAGTATAGGTTTAAGGTGAGAGGGGAAAGATTGAAAAGGGACTTGAGGGGCAACTTTTCCAAACCGAGTGTCGTGCGTGTATGGAATGAGATGGTGGAGGCGAGTACAATTACATTTAAAAGACGTTTGGACAGGGTACATGAATAGGCAAGGTTTGGAGGGATATGGGCCAAATGCAGGCAAATGGGGCTCGTTCAGTTTGGGAAACTAGGTTGGCATGGACGAGTTGGACCGAAGGGTCTATTTGATTGTATTACTTTGTGGCACACACTGACGCACGCGCGCACATGGGATCAGTAATGGAGATGTGGATGTCTTAGTTCAGAAACAGCTTTCTCCTGGATGGTGTCTTGCTAGCGCTGTTGTTGTGGCCATGCAAGTGTGTGCTCAGTATACTGTCACAGTGCTTGGGTCTCTTGTGACGCGGTGATAATGTCCCTACCTCTGACCCAGAATACCTGGGTTCGGGTCCTGCCAGCTCCAGGGGTGTGTATTAACGAGTCTGAACAGGTTAAACTAGCGAGCCTTGCTGTTGTCAGAAGCCTCTCCAATGGGAGATTGACATTGCTGACTGTGGAATGAGCCAATCATTACACAGTGGCCAGTCTCTTTGGTCTAGTTGCGTCCTGGTTGGTAATGATCCCCACGATGCTGATGGTGACAGGTTGTCAGTGTGGTTTACCTTTTAGTCAGGTTAGCTATGGTCATCACTGGCACTTTGGTGGGCTCAGTGTAAGCCGTGCTCAAGCATGGCCCCCCTTGTTAACTGCATATTGCTTGCATTTAATTATAAGCAGGGCTGAAAGAGTTGCGGCGCAGTGATAGTGTCCGGGCTTGTGGCAGAAGGCCCAGGTTTGAGTCCTGCCCGTCCTGGAGGTGTGCCGTGACAGGGGTTGGTTTTATTTTTTTTTTGGGGTGTGGAGGTCATTAACTGGGCTTTTGCTTGAGCCGATCAAACAACGCTCCCACTGAAACTGGGGTTGAGGGTGTTGGAGTTTGGCAGTTTTTGTATGTAATCTTTCACTCTGTGAGTGGATGTAAGACTCTGCAAAGATTGGCTCCAGTTACATCCTCTACCATTGCAATTTCTTGATGGTGACACTGCTGCAAGCTAATGTAATCTCCCTGAGCGTTCTGGAATCGCCAATGAACGGCCCTGGTCTGGATTCTTTGACAGTGGGAGAAGGCATTGAAGATGGTTGCTAGAGTACTGTGCCCTGAGAAACCCCGGGGTTTATGTTGGTGATCAGCTTCTGACAACCACAACCATCTTTCTCTTGGACTCTGGACAGAGGAGCTCCTTGATGAACACAGCTCACCACCACCTTCTCCAGAGGCTATTAGGGATGGGCCTGTTTCACCCAGTGATGCTCACGTCCTGTGAACGAATGACAAGAAAAAATGTTCCCGTTGGGAGGATGTGGATAAATGTGATAACCGTATTCATTGGACTGAATCCACATCTTATTTGCTTTGTTACAGTATCAACATTGCATTGAGCTCTTCAAAGGAGGTACATAATATATTTGTATCTAAATTGAACCTCAGTATATTTACATTTGCAAATGCTCTTGGCCTATCTTCAAATTGCTTCACGGTCCATGAATTTATTTTTCTGAAGCTCGTTTACTGTTGAGATGTATGTGACACGTTGGCTGATTTTGTGCACAGGTTGATCCCATAAACTGCAGTCAGGTGACTGACCAAACTATGTCTCTTAGGCAATGGCGGTTGAGCGAGGTGTGTTTTCCTCTTTTGAATTAGTCATGGGTGCTAGGGATTGTTTATCTCCACCTGAAGCTGATAAGGCAGGTTAAACCACGCCCTCAAAACCACATCACCTCTGACAATATGATACTCCCTCTCTGCGGTCCCCAGATATTAGTCTATTTCCTGTTTCGGTGTCCAGTAACACAGTCTGTTTGACCTTAAAGCGAGTGGTTATACCAGCCAGGCTGATGTTTGCTCTGTTTAAACATTATCATTGATGAAAGTATTGTATCATCTTTATACAACCTAATATTGTTTCACTTTTGCCCATTCTGAGGAAGGGTCACTCTCTCTACCCGAAACGTTAATTCCGATTTCTGTCCACCAATGCTGCCAGAGCTGCTGAGCTTTTCCAGCAATTTCTGTTATTGTTTCACCTTTAACTGGGTTGTAACATCCTAGTTATAGTGTAGCAAAGTACGCCCACAAAATACTGAGGAACCACCACAGAATGAATGTTTTCTGATGTATATTTTTGATTTGATATTACTTCTGCGCTGTTGCGACTGTTTCAATATTGGGAGCAAATTAGCTTAGAACTTCTTTCTCCAGCTTACAGACGCTCATGGGAAACATCAGTTCTGGTCGCCAAATTACAGGAAGGATGTGGAGACGGTGCAGAAGAGATTTACCAGGATGCTGCTTGGATTCGAGAGTATAAGCTACAAGGAGAGGCTAGACACACTAGGGTTGTTTTCTCTGGAACAGTGGAGACTGAGGGAAGACTTGATAGAAGTTTATAAAATTGGGATACGTAGAAAGAGTTGATGGTGAGAATGTTTTTCTCAGAGTTGAAATGTCTAATACTAGGGGACATGCATTTAAGGTGAGCGGGGGAAAGGTCAACGGAGACATGAGGGGCAGGTTTTTTACCGCCGAGAGGGGTAGGAGTCTGGAACACGCTGCCAGGGGTGGTGGTAGAGGCAGTGTTTACAGGACTTTTAGATAAGCACATGAATATGCAAGGAATGGAGGGATATGGACCAAATGCAGGCAGAAGGGATTAGTTTAATTTGGCATCATGTTCAGCACAACATTGTGGGCCATTCCTGTGCTGTACTGTTCGATATTCAATTGTTATCAGGCTTCACTGATAGGGTTCACTCCTAACTTCTGCAACCCCTCCCCTCGCCCCAAGAGCCGGGAGAAAAATTATTCCCCCATTTCCTCGTGCTTTTGTCTAGCTTTACGGATATTGATTCTTTGTTTTTAGGTGAATCCAGACTATCAGAATGATCAACTGGAGTCAAAGGGAGTGGTAAGTGAGACTTTTTGTCTAATGTTGTTTAGACTGGTATGTGTATGTGCGAATCTCTCACCATTTCCCATGCTGGCAGCTTTGTGGCTTTCCAGGTAGGGGGGAGGGGGGCCCGAGGTGTTTAAACAGGAATATTTCTCTCCGTTTTTGCCAAGAATTGAATCTGAATCTGTTGTGTGAACGTTTCCAAAGCCTCTGTCCACAGAATGTGCTGTTGCGTGTTGGATTTTGTTTCACACTGAGCTGATGGACTGGTCTAACAAGGTGTAGAGCTGGATGAACACAGCAAGCCAAGCAGCATCAGAGGAGCAGGAAAACTGAAGTTTCAGGCCTAGACCCTTCTTCAGAAAAAAGGACTGATCTACCTGGAGCAGTTCAGATAGAATCCCGGTTAGTGGGCAGTAGGCGCCACCTGGAGGCTAAATCGAGTCTTGCAGCTGTCTGCCTCCATCTCTGCAGCAAACTGAAGGAGACCACTTACTTACTCCTCGTACGGTAACTTTGACAGAATGTTCAAAACGATAGTCAGGTTATCCAGCAATGCGAGGTGCATCCAAATGTGGGTAAACTTGCAAAGTTTTGTGAATTAGAGTTTGACGTCACTTGTACTCGAGCACAGTGAAAAGTGTACAATGTTGCCGTTCCCGGTGCTGTCTTAGTAACTAAGGTACAAAATCTCAAAGGTATAAAGTAAAGCAAAAGAAGGTTGCTTTGAAGGCAGAGTTTAGATTCTGGAAGAGAAGCTGAAAAATAGGATCTCCAAAAAGTATCGATCTCTGAATCACTCCTCACGCCCTGTGCTGGTGAGGTCAAAAATGAAGAAGATAGAGCTGATGAATGATACATTAGAATCATAGAATCCCTATAGTGTGGAAACAGGCCCTTCGGCCCAACAAGTCTACACCGAACCTCGGAGCATCCCACATAACCCACCTAATCTACACCTCCCTGAACACTACGAGCAATTTAGCACAGCCAATCCACCTAACCTGCACATCTTTGGACTGTGGGAGGAAACCGGAGCACCCAGAGGAAACCCATGCAGACACGGGGAGAATGTGCAAACTCCACACAGACAGTTGCCCGAGGCTGGAATTGAACCCGGGTCCCTGGCGCTGTGAGGCAGCAGTGAGGAAAATGGTGCCGGAGGTACAATTCCCTGGCACGGTGCAGTGGGGCCTGTACAAGTCAGACTGGGTTACACCTCGACAGCACTGGGAATAATATCCTCGCTGGGGATTTTATTAGTGGTGCTAACAGGTTAGATCTTGATGACAGCGAGTTACAAACCTCACCCAGTGTTACTCTTGGTTTTATTGCCACTGACTTCAAAAACCTGCAAATATGTTGTAACACCATATTTTGCACTCCCAAGTGAGCCCCCCCCCGCCCCGCCCGAGTTAAACTATCCGGAAAAAAACGAAAGAACTGCAGATGCTGGAAATCGAACAATAACAGAAGTTGCTGGAAAAGCTCAGCAGGTCTGGCAGCATCTATGGAGAGAAAATCAGAGTTAACGTTTTGGGTCCAGTGACCCTTCCCCAGAACATCACTCAACCCGTAATGTTAACTCTGCTTTCTCTCCACAGATGCTGCCAGACCTGCTGAGCTTTTCCAGCAATTTCTGTTTTAGTTTCAAATATCTGGTGTCTGGAATCGAACAGACATTGAGTTTGAGAGCGGTAGGCTGTATCAGGCGAGGGAATTTGATTTGATTTATTATTGTCACGTGCACCGAGATACAGTGAAAAGTTTTGTGTGCTCACCAGACAACTCTCACCTTACATAAATACATCAGGGTAATAGCCCAGAATGCAGAATACAATGTTGAAGGTGCAGAGAAAGATTAATATGAGAGAGTTGCAGTATTTCTGTACTGACTTTTTTTTTACTCTGCAAAGCGCACACCATATATAGTGCTGGTCACGGTCCTTCAATTGGTTCCATTATTTTTAATTAACGTGTTTGGACACATTCTGATACATCTCCTGAGCTTCTAGCCCAGAGATAGAGACACTACTGAAGTGCCCAGAGAGTCCCAATAAATACGTGTTGATTCATACGTTTTCTGCAGGAGGTGATCTGGTCGTGAAATTGAGTGCATTGAGCAGGTATCCATCCGCATTGAGCTTTGGGCCCACGTTCCATCTCGTTTTGCTTCCTTTCAGAGTGACGGGGACGTGTTACCGGCTAAAAACAAACGCCAGTTAGTGGAGAAGATCATGTACACGCTGGTGTCGGTGCCTCACGGAAATGATATTGCATCACTCTTTGAACTCGACACCACCACCCTCCAGAGAGCCGACTCCCTGGTCCCCAGGTAACTCCTGCCCTGAAGCTCAGGCCACCGTAGGATTGTCGGTGGGGTGGGGGGAGCCATGGCCTTATAAAATAGAGGAGCAGACTTCGGCAGGGGAGGTTCCTACTCCTGCTTGTGGCTAATAGAAAGGAAGTAGTGCTGGAGAAACTCGGCAGATCTGGCACCGCCTTTGCAGAGGGAGAGAAACGGAGTTTAACGCATTGGGTCCAGTCTGACGACTCTTTGGAGCACCTAGTTCCTGGTCCTTGTTCTCACATTTTTAGACCGAAAAGTTGCAATTTGTGTGTGAATGACTATTTGTTTGCGGATGGCACTAAAATTGGAGGTGTAGCGGACAGTGAAGAAGGTTATCTCCGAGTACAATGGGATCTTGATCAGATGGGCCTAGGAGTGGCAGATGGAGTTTAGTTTAGATAATTGTGAGGTGCTGCGTTTTGGAAAGGCAAATCAGGGCAGGACTTGTACACATAATGGTAAGGTCCTGGGGAGTGTTGCTGAACAAAGAGACCTTGGAGTGCAGGTTCATAGTTCCTTGAAAATGCAGTTGCAGGTAGATAGGACAGTAAAGAAGGTGTTTGATATGCTTGCCTTTATTGGTCAGTGCATTGAGTATAGGAGTTGGGAGGACATGTTGCAGTTGGACAGGACATTAGGCTGCTTTTGGAGTACTGCATTCAATTCTGGTCTCCCTGCAACAGGAAAATTGTTGTGAAAGGGTTCAGAAAAGATTTTCAAGGATGTTGCCAGGGTTGGAGGGTTTGAGCTATAGGGAGAGGCTGAATAGGCTGGGGCTATTTTCACTGGAGCAACAGATGCTGAGGGGTGACCATATTGAGATTTATAAAACTTATTCCATAGAATTCCATGGAATCCCTACAGTGTGGAAACAGGCATTTGGCCCAGCGAATCCACACTAACCCTCTGAAAAGCATCCCATCCAGACCCATCCTCCTACTCTATCCCTGTAACCTTGCATTTCCTATGGCTAACACACCTATCTTACACATCCCTGAACACTATGGGCAATTTAGCATGGCCAAGCCACCCTAACCTGCACATCTTTAGGGGCCATGGATAGGGTGATTAGCCAAGGTTTTTTTTCCCAGGATAGGGGAGTCCAAAGCTAGAGGGCATAGGTTTAAGGTGAGTGGGAAAGATTTAAAAGGGACTCGAGGGACAACTTTTTCACACAGAAGGTGGTGCGTGTATGGAATGAGCTGCCAGAGGAAGTGGTGGAAGCTGGTACAATACCAACATTTAAAAGGCATCTGGATGGGTATATGAATAGGAAGGGTTTAGAGGGGTATGGGCCAAATGCTTGTAAATGGGACCAGGTCAGATTGGGATGTCTGGTCAGTGTAGACAAGTTGGACCGAATTTAGATCATAGATTATAGAATCCCTACAGTGTGGAAACAGGCCCTTCGGCCCAACAAGTCCACACTGACCCTCACAGCATCCCACCCAGACCCATCCCCCTATAACCCACCTAATCTACACATCCCTGGAAACGATGGGGCAATTTCCCATGGTCAATCCACCCTAAACTGCACATCTTTGGACTGTGGGAGGAAATCGGAGCACCCGGAGGAAACCCACGCAGACACTGGGAGAATGTGCAAACTCCACACAGACAGTCACCCGAGGGTGGAATCGAAGCTGGGTCCCTGGTGCTGTGAGGCAGCAGTTTGTGTTGCTCATGAGATGTGTTCATTGAAAGCCTCTTGCACTCACTTGTGGGTTTCCTGGATTTACCCAAATAGTGGGGCCGGTGCGGATATACACCTTCCCCCATCCCCCACCACGAATTTTTCACAGCAAAGCCCGACATACACCCAACTGAGCTTCCAAGAGCGAAGTGATGGCTTTCTCCTTTCAATCTTGATGAAGTGAGTTACTTTTAGGTTCTGTATACACAGATTTACAGCAGAGGAACAATGAAAGTGTTGATCAGGCGGAAGCTATTATTGAGGGATAATGTAAGAGTAACAGTGTAAGTGCTAAAGAAGACGGGAAAGATTTGCCATAGCAACAGCTGCTCTGCAGGCTTGGAGGGGTTAAGATTTAGGATATTCTCACTGTTTGCTTTGTTAGCTGCGCCCTGGTCTGTGTTCTATTTCATAAACTTTAAAGATAATTGGAGTAGCAACAAGTGCATTATTTTCCACCAATTGTTGTTTCCCCTCAGGAACTCCTATGTGAGGTTGAGACATCTCTGCACAAATACCTGGGTCACCAGCAGTAACATCCCTATAGACATCGATGAGGAACGGCCAGTCATGCTGAAGGTACAGTCATTGGTTACAGCCGCTGTTTGGACTGTAAATCTTACTGAATAGACCACAGACAGTACTGTTGTGTCACAGTAGGAGGGCCAAAGTCCAAATGCACTTCAGGCAAATTCCAAAGCACCAGCTTATGGGAAGATATCCTTGGAATGTGGACATAGTTGGTAATGGTGGTGTTTATTGACCAGCCGGGGAAAGGAGTTGGTGGGCCACTTATTTATCGCCGACTGAGAGGTTCCCCGGGCTACCGCAGGTCAATGCAGAGTTTGCACATGCTGAGAGTAGTGACACTGGACTAGTAATCCCGAACCACACCTGCCATCCTTCCCTGGTCTAGCCTACATGTGACTCCAGACCCACTGCAATGTGGTTGAGTATTAACTGCCATCAGGACAATTTAGGGATGGGCAATAAATGCTGGCCTGACCAGAGACACCACAACCCATGGGGGGTGGGGAGAAAAAGGCTGGAAATTAGATATAGTCCAAACTGAATAAAGACACCCATTATGAACGTGATGGATTTGTACAATAATCTGACAGCTTTGAGATCACTTTTCCTGTTGGAAGATTTATTCAAAGTGAAATTGTGTGTATGTGCGGGTGGGGATGGAGTGGCATTAAATGCCACCTCTTGTTCCTCTGTATCTGTCACTGGCATGTTCTGTTTGTAGCTCTGTGTTGCTAGTCCGGTAATGTCACCACGACACTCCCACCTGTGCCATCGACACCCCAAAATATTCCAGCGCTTTCTTACAACGGCTGTCTACCAGTTGTTGCTGTGTCCGAGTTGTAGATTTGAATGTCACTTTGTTGTCATTAGATTGGAACGTGTCCGACCAAAGAAGACAAGGAAGCATTTGCAATAGTCTCTGTGCCCCTCTCAGAAGTCCGAGACTTGGACTTTGCCAATGATGCCAGCAAGGTGCTATTTGCCACGGTCCAGCGGTTGGAGGATGGCACCATTACTCAGAACGAAAGAAGGTTGGTGAATGCCTTTTGCAAATCCACGTTATCCACAGAGTGTGCCGTATAGAAGCAGGGCCTGTTAAACCCAGCAGATTGATTCAAATGTTCACGTTATTGGTGGACAGCCCCTAGTTGCTACTCCCTGTGGGTAACCACCTCCACATGATCCCCGTTTCAGAGATAGTAGGAACTGCCGATGCTGGAGAATCTGAGATAACAAGGTGTAGAGCTGGATGAACACAGCAGGCCAAGCAGCATCAGAGGAGCAGGAAGGCTGACGTTTCGGGCCTAGACCAGGTTTGAATGGTCTTTGGTTAGATGAGGGGAGGAGGGAGGAATGAGTCAAGAATAAAGAAGTTAACATGCTGCAAAATATAAAAGCTTTTTTATTGGGATAACTCAAAATTACCAATGGGTATATTCTTAATTTTTGAGATGCTGCTTGTAACAAAGATAAGAAAGAAGCAATATTTGAATTTTGAAGGAAGCTTTTCATAAAGTTCCTATACTCAAGGTTATTAAACAAAACTATGGGATTGAGGTGATACACTAGTATGGACTGAAAATTGGTGAACATACAGAGAGAGTGGCAATAACTGGATCAATCCTGGCATGGGAAGCCGGTACTGGTGGGGTACCACAATTATCAGTGCTAAGGTCACAGCTAGTTACAACCTTCATAAATAACTTGGATGTAGGGACCAAATATAATGTTTTCCAAAAGTTTTTCTGATGATGAAAAACTAGATAGGAACACAGGTTGTGGGGAGGGTACGAGGAAGCTTCAAGGATACGCCACTGAGAGGTCAAGAACCCAGATGTCCTTGCTTATGAGTCATTAAAAGCAATAATGTACTTGGAACAAGCAATTTTAAAGACCAAAGTATACCAGCAATTATAAGATAACTTGAGTCCAGGGTAAAAATGTCTTGCGGCAATTGTTTGTGGAGCAACCTGTGAGACCACACTTGGAGCACTGTATACAGCTTTGGTCTCCTTACCCAATGAAGTATATACTTGCTACAAAGAAAACAGAGGTTCAGCAGATGAAGCCTACATGGACATAAGATTGTTGAATTTAAAGGTCAAACAGTATTTTTCATTCTAAACATTTTATCTGAAATGTCTGCCTTCCTGCCCCTCTGATGCTGCTTGGCCTGCTGTGTTAATCCAGCTCTACACCTTGTTATCTCTCCACATGATCACCATTGGGTTTCTCCTTCAGTCCCTATGGGGCTGGCTTACATTTAACGGACCAAAGTTTTGGTCTTCCTCTCAGTGAACACGTCTTGTTGCCTACCTTGTGGAATCCTTTCTGAGTTTTACGGATTATTTTCAAAGCTGCAAAACAGAAGAATATTTCGCTGCCACTGGAAATCTTCTGAAGACAGTTTACCTGTGAATTTGTACTGGATGATGTTTCTCCTGTCCAAAGAGATTTTCTGATTGGTGGATGGGAGAAGGCAGGTTACCATGACGGTGTCTCAATGGGTTGCTTCGTCTTTACCTGTCCTTCAGTTCCATGTGAGCATGACCCTATGTTCCTTTTTTTGAGTAATGTTATGGACCAGACCAGATCCCCTTAACATATTTTAAAAAGGTAGCCTAGACCCTAACTTTTTCTCATTTTCAAAGACAAAATGTGAAGTGTTCCTGATACAATGCAACTGGTTAAACTACTCGCAGAAACAATTTATTTAAACACTATAGTTAAAACACAAACAAAAAAAGAACTTAGAATAATTTCACTCTATTGGAAAACTTAACCCAATAATAGATACCGTACCTATTACTAATTAACTGTTCCAATATAGTAACATCCCATAAACACACCTCTTGGCAATAAGGCCAATTCAGACACAGATTCTCACATGCAGTTCTCCATCCAGGAGGGAAAAAAAACCAAGAGAAAATTCAGCGAATGTAGCTGGCAGGAGACAAGGCTTTCCAACTCTGAGACCCCAAAAGATTCTGATGCGACTGAGAAAACCAAAACCCAGAAATCTGAATCCGATGAGAGCTGGCTGCACCCATTCAGGCTGTGTTTTTCAAATAAAAATCCCAAGGCCTCCCAAGCTGTTTACATTCCCCCAAATTGCTTGGTACCTCTGCCTTACAACCTCTCTTCACACAGACCGGGACTAAATAGCCTTTAAAACCCACAGCATTGTAACAGTTACATCCTGAGTCAACTTGTGCTTGTCTTTCTTATGAACCTGTTCACGAGGGCTTGGTCAGAGTGAGGGGGCTCTCACAGGGTGAGGGAGAATGGGAGAACTATCCAATATACTCCAAGGGACGTGGTCAAACAAATAAGAAGGACAATTATTTGCAGCTATGGATCTTCTACAAAGTTCTGCACTGATGAAAATATCCTAAATGGCCTCTTCCCCTTTCACTCCCTCTCTCTAATGTCTTTTGGGTTCCACTTGTTCGGCCTCTTTCATTTTGCACTCTGTTCCCTCTTCTCATATGGGCATTTTTGCTTTCATCCTTGTGCCTGTTGGCATCTCCCTTTTTCTCTCACCAGCTTCTTTCTTTCTCTTTTTTGGGAGCTCTGTAGCTCTGTTTTCCTGAAGGAAGCACAGGAATTGTGTTCCAAAATATTTTGGGCAAATCTAACTTGCAATGTGTATTTTTTGGGGAGGGGGAGTGAATTATGCACCTTACCCTTTCTCTTCAGGTGGCACTACATTAAATCCATAAGATGTAGGAGCAGAAGTAGGCCATTCAGCCCATCGAACTTGCTCTATAGTTCAATGAGATCATGGCTGATCTGATGGTTCTTACCGTGTTGCTGATTATGGCTCTCCAACTTACACAATCCTTGATAATAGCCACCGTTGCAGTTGTTCTTAAATCTTTTACCTGTTCTGTTCCTTGAACTGTTGATATAATTCACACTAGACAGGGTAAACACAGGAAGGATGTTCCTGATGACCAGGGAGTTCAGATTCAGGGGTCACAGACTAAGGACATTGGGAAGGCCATTCAGGACTGAGATGAGGTGACATTTCTTCGCCCAGAGAGTAGGGAGTCTGTGGAATTCTGTGCCAGAGTTGAGGTCAGAACATTGAACATTTTCAAGAAAGTGTTCGATATAGTCCTTGGGTTTAAAAAGATCAAGGGGTATGGGGAGAGAGTTTGATGATTAGCCATGGTGGAAGCATATTGAATGGTGGAGTAGGCCCAAAGGACTGAATGGCCTACTCCTGCATCTATTTTCTGTTTTGATGTTTTCTCCTTTGTCTCCTTTCTTTGCTGCCCTCAAGTTTGACTGCCATTACCAGATGAGATTAAGTATGGGGTGAAACTGGCCTTAGCCCCTCTTGTGTTTCTCTCTGTCCCCCTGATCTGTGCTTTCCAAGCCAGCATGCAGCGGGTGTTCCTCTGCACAGCATCACACAGGCAACTCCTCAACCTGCCAAGGTGAAGGTGCAGCATGCCCAGATCAGAGTATCCCTGTGAGCTGGTGATGCTACACCAGTTACTGAGAATATAGTCTGGCTCCAAAGGCTCATGGGTTCTCTGTTCCTCACCTTCATTGACCAGAAAACTGTAGTCGATGGACAGATCCACCTGTGATCCTTCTCAGCAATACGCCAAAGTTATCTTGTATCTATGGTGATTGGCAACCTGTCTCTCATCAAGACCACATCACATGCATTGGAAAATATTATGGACCAAACATATATCCTCAACATATATCAAGGAGATAGCCTAGAACCTGCTGCCTTCCAGATGTAATTCAATTCATCAAACTACTAGGCTTTAAGCAAAACACTCTCTATTCTCACACCTTAGTTAAATGGAAAAAAAAAACAGAAAGAAGAATAGGCAAAACTTTAACTCAATTAAATTACTTAACAAAATAATTTATATTATTTAACCACTAATCATCAACTGGTCCAATATTTCAGCATTTCATAAACATACCCTTGGCAAAGGCAAATTCTGCAAAACAGATATTCCGCACGTGCTATCTTCCCTTGCAGCCCAGGTGAAAGGAACACTGAAGAAAAACAATCCAGCAGCAGAGAGAGAACTTGAGCTGTTTGCTGCAGCAGAGAGAGAGTGAGCTGTATCTATTAGCTTCACCAGCCAAGTTGGTCTGTGTGAGCCTGACTCCACCCAATCATGCTTCCTTTGTCTAATCTTTTTTAAAAAAAGCACTCAAAGCTGTTTACCCACAGCTTCTAAAGTAGATATTCTGGCACCACTGGCAACACCGAGAAACAGCACAGAACAAATCTCTCTTAAAGGCACAGTACTGTCATAAAAGGCAACCACCATCTTTGGCCAACTATCAAAATGTAAAAAAAAAACATACAACCCCACAGGGTCAAGAGTCTTATCTACAAAGCCTTTGTCCTCGGTATATTGACCATAGAATCCTTACAGTGTAGAAACAGGCCCTTTGGCCCACCAAGTCCACACCGACCCTCAGAGCATCCCACCCAGACCCATCCACCTAATCTACACATCCCTGAACACTACGGGCAATTTAGCATGGCCAGTCCACCTAACCTGCACATCTTTGGACCGTGGGAGGAAACTCACGCAGGCACAAGGCGAATGTGCAAACTCCACACAGACAGTCGCCTGAGGGTGGAATCGAATCTGGATTCCTGGCGCTGTGAGGCGGTAGTTCGTGTTGTTGTATGGCAGTGAATCTTGAACAACTCTCACTGATAAAGAACGAAGGCTCCATAATTTCCAATTCCGGTGTCTGAGACACATCCTCGGGAAGGTCCTGCTCTCCAACGGAGAGGTCCTTTCTTGGGTAAACGTGCTAACTGCTCCAGCGCAAGTCGAGTTCAGGAATCTTTGCTGTCTTGGGCATGTGGATCGAAGCTCCAAATCAGACACCAGCCTGGCAGAGATCGTCCTGCGGCACTGGCAAGGGACAACGTCCCACATGGTAGACTTTTACCCATAACCGGATTGACTCATTTGGTCCGTCAGAAGAAGTGGTACCTCCTGAGCTCACCAAGGTTCTGAGGCTGAATTCCTGTTATCCCTCGCAGATGGAGTGATGCCAGTCACCAGTTAGTTCCCTCTCTGAAGTACGTGCCCGGGGAACTGTCATAGGTTTTTGTTTATCATTACGGAAAGCTGTCCTTGTGTACCAGCTTTCCATACAAGCTGTGCCTATTGTCTGACTAATCCCCATCACGCCCCAGAACATTCTTGAATTGCCTTTCATTTATTTTCCATCGCTGTGCTTCTGATCCAGATTTAGCATCCGCACAGCACCATGACCAGATGTAGCAGTTTAGTCATTTCATTCTGCTTTCCGTAGAGATGCTTTTATTCCTAAAGGCATCCAGCATCATTGAGAAGGGTTATGTTGCAAGTCTAACGTGTTTCCTGATGTCTAGACCGCTGTTCCCATCAGATATTACTAGGCTGCCCAGATTAGGAAAATTGTTTGACTTTGTTTTGATTCTGCTGCCGTTTTGTACCCAGATGTAATTCTTTCCTTTAGTGTATTACCCTGCGTTGTTCTTTCATTTCAGCTTAATGACTTGTTTGTTTGTTTGTTTATATCTGTTAGTTCTCATCTCTGAGTCTTTATAGACATTCCTGTGTCTGCCATAGTCACCATGTCATCTGCAGCTCTCTGATTTATTTGTGTTCTGCCACTTGCTAACATTCTCAGTAAATCTGGCCAGTTCATCGTAAAGATTGCAATGATTTTGGAGACAGAATCCAACTTTGTCACATTACTCCTTTCAAAACCCTCCCTCTCCATTCATTGTCTATCTGGCTTATGGAATTCCTACCTTGTGGAAGCAGGCCATTCAGCCCATCTAGTTCACTGCCCCTCTGAAGAGCATCCCACTCCCCTACCCTATCCCTGTAACCCTGCGTTTCCCATGGCTAATCCACCTAGCCTGGACACTGTATGGACAATTTAGCATGGCCAGCCTGTACATCTTTGGACTGTGGGAGGAAGCAGAGCACCCAGAAGAAACCCACGTAGATGCGGGGAGAACAGCTGTGTGGAGTTTGCACAGTTGCCTGAGGGTGGAATCGAACCCTGGGTCCCTGGCACTGAGGCAGCAGTGCTAACCACTGAGCCACCGTGCCTCCCACTATCTCTCGTTTGATCCCAGGCTAATGCTGTAGGCCATCTAGTTCATGTTCTTTATTGCTGAGCTGGGAATCCGAATAACTTACTTGAATAAATAAATAGGGAATCGGAGTCTAGCTAAACCTACTCCCCCACCCCCAAACTCCTTTAATTCCACAGGCAAAGGAGGTTGTGATTACTGTTTATCCATTCTCATGGGCTGTGACTAACTCCAAACGTTTATACTTGGGATTGGATATAATGCCAGAAAAGCCAGTGGTTAGCTGTTTTCATCCAGATTAGTCTGTGTTAGCCTGTTGCTTGTATCAACTTCCAGGTTCCTTCCTCCATTGCTGCATGCCTTTGTTTTACATTGCTTTGTGGGATGTGTGTGTGTCACTAGTTATACCAACATTTATTGCCCATTCTTAGCCACCATCTGGGTCATTGAGTCAACCACATTGCTGTGGGTCTGGATTGTAGAATGGCAGATTTCCTTCCCTGAAGGATATTAATGAAACAGATATTTCCCAGCAGGCGACACTAGTTACATGGTCGCCATCAGATTTTCATTGAATTCAAATTGCACCATCTGCCTGGGATAGACTAGATAACTCACCCCGCAACATTACCACTGTGGCTGCACTTTCTCCTAACTAGTCTTATGCTCCGACCCTCTCTAACCCTTGTCCCTTTTGTTTCTCTCCCATCCTTGACTCACTCCTCCCCCAGATTCCTCTCTTCCCCTTTTATCTCTCTATTTCAGAGAGGCGTATAGCAAGGAAACAGACCCTTCGGTCCAACCAGTCCATGCCGACCTTAACCCAAACTAAACTAGTCCCATCTGCCTGCACTTGGCCCACATTCCTCCAAACATTTCTTATTCGTGTACTTAGCCAATTGTCTTTTAAATATTGTTATTGTAGCTGCACCCACCTCTTCCTCTGGTTCGTGTGGGGAATGAACTTGCACTCTGTTTTGTTTTAAAAAGAAACGCCCTTCATGTCTTTTTTTTTAAACATTTCCTCCTCTCACCTTAAAAATAGGCCCTCTAGTCTTGAAATCTCCCACCCTAGGGAAAAGACACCTGCCATTCGCCTTATCTATATCCCTCATGATTTTCTAAGCCTTTATAAGGCCACCCCTCGACCTCCTACGTTCCAGTGGAAAAAGTTTCAGCCTATCCAGTCTCTCCTTATAACTCTAACCCTCCAGTCCCAGTAACTTCTTGGTAAATCTCTAAACCTCTCCAGCTTAATGGTATCCTTCCTATAACGGGGAAGGATATTATTATTTTGTATTTCATTAAAAAGCTTGTGTTATATAATATTATTGTCCCATGTCCCCCAGATTAAAGGAGGCTGTGAAAAGATTCAGGTCATTGTGCTGCTTTCAGCTATTCGCTGTGTCAGAATTGCATACCTTTTAGTCTTCCTAAGGTGTGATTCAGGCTGAAGAATTCTCTTTTATTGAAGCTACATCCTGAAGATCTGTTTGTTCTGGACAATGGAAAAGGTCATCCCCATCCCTTCCCCATCCTTCATTTCCAGTGAGTTTCTCTGAAGGGCAATGGGTCCATTACACCGTGGTGTTCTGTTACGGAATACTGAGTCTGTGTTGCTGTGACAACATGCAGTTTCCTGTATATATTATACAGGCTGGAAGTATGGATAGTCATAGCTGCTGATCCCTTGTGCAATGGTCACACACTCATCCACCGAAATAACCATCAAGAATTACTCTGGGCAAACTTTTCTACACATGTGCTTTTAATAGTTACCCTGTCTGTCTGGAGAGTGAATTATTTTAAATGGGAAATGTTGTGTAGTAAAGAGTTCTGGATCTTTTTCTTGTTCAGTTCTCCATCCCCATCCCCATCGGAAGTCCAACTCTCGGTGTCATGATCTCTGCCACAAAAGTAGGACAAGCAGACAGATCCTTAATCTGCTGGAACTGGCATCGAAACCTTTTTGATGGCCCCAATCTGATCTACGCCAGCCATCCAGCTAACCGAGGCCCCAAGGGAATCTGATTTGATTTATTATTGTCACATGTACCTATGTGAAGTGAACGTTTTTCTGTTTTGCGTGCACTATAAGCAGATCATTACCACACAAAATGAGTTATGTGAATAAAACAGAGCAAGGAATACAGTGTTACAGCTGCAGAGAAGGCACACAGTGAGATCACTGTTAAATTATAATTTAGGTCTGTTCAGAAGTCACATAACAGTGGGGAAGAAACTGTTCTTCAGCCTATTTGCATGTGTGTATCTTCTGCCCAATGGAATAGGGTGGAAAAGAGTATAACTGGTGTGGGAGGGGTCTTTGATTATGTTGGTTGCTTTCCCAATCCGGTGGGAAGTATAAATGGAGTCAGTGGATGGGAGGCTGGTTTGCGCAATGGACTGGGCTATGTTTACAACTCTCTGTGGCTTCTTATGGTCTTGGGAAGAGCAGTTACCAAACCACACTGTGATGCATCCACATAGGAATGTTTCTGTGGCGTGCCTACAAGAATTGGTCAGCGTTCTTGTGGACATGCCGAATTTCCATAGCCTCCTGAGGAAGTAGAGACATTGTTGTGCTTTCTTGACCGTTGTGTGGACGTGGGTGGACCAGGACAGATTGTTGGTGATCATCAGTCCCGGGGGACAGAGAGAGAGACACACACACAATCACCTGCAAGTTGTAATCTGGAGCTGCAGGTAGTGGTAATGGTAGGGTCTCTGACTTGTCTTCCATCCCATGGTTGACCAGAAGCTGCCTGTTCTTGCTGCCTTCCACTGGGGTGTGTGTTGTAAAGACAAACAACCTGTTTTGGCTGCACTATTAGTTCCTGGTGAACTTGGAGCTTCCAGACTAGGGGCAGGATCCGTGCCACACTCCTCTGTTATGTAAGTAGGTTCGGTAGACATTTTTCACACAGCAATCTCCCATTAACAGCAACAAAACAAATGGTCCCAGGGCAGTTTTCTCTTCTGGCCTCCTGTGAACTGGACCCCTACTGGTTTACAGACTTCAGGAAACCATTTCTGAATCTCTCTCAAAGAAAAGGAACAAGTTGGCATGAAGCTGAGAAAAAATCCATTAATTTGTTGCCAGGTTTGTGACAAAGCTGTTGGAAGATTTGGTTTTCTTTGTCGCTCATGTGCCTTGCAATGGTCAAGATGTCTTGGATGTGGTTATCACGAAACCAAATCGGGAGAGACAGAAGTTAATGAGGGAACAGAATATCTTGAAACAGGTAAGACTGATGTGCCATTTTGTTTTGGAAAGCTTCCCTTATTCACGCGAATAGTTCCACAGGGCATAATCTAAAAAGTTCAGTTCACTTCACCAATTCGGTTATAATTTGTGATTTGGCTAATGTACTTTATTGAGAATTAGAATTAGGGTTATGGTGACATGTGCTCAAGTACAGGAGGACAGTGAAAAATTTGCAATGTCACCCCTCACGGCACCATCTTGGGTACAAATCTTTGGTGCAAAATAGAGAAATAAAGAAAAAGAAATCCCATGACCTTACGGTAATACAGGTTAGAAAATCAGAAATAAAGTATCGAGAAAGCCCAGCAGAGGGCAACTGAGAGGGAGAGGCATCACTTTGGCGCATACCTTAGAGCCTGGAAGCAGTCACCCATACTGAGCAGCAGATTGTTATGGGCCTGGTATCAAGGGAATCCAGGATGGTCGCACCTCCATCTCCTACCGACCAACCTCATCCCACCCCCTTGACCTGTCCGTCCTCCCTGGACTGACCTATCCCCTTCCTAACTCCCTACCTACACTCACCTTTACTGGCTCCATCCCCGCCTCTTCGACCTGCTTGTTTCCTCTCCACCTATCCTCTCCTCTATCCCTCTTCTATCCGCCTCCCCCTCTCTCCCTATTTATTTCGGAACCCCCTTCCCCTCCCCCTTTTCTGATGAAGGGTCTAGGCCCGAAACGTCAGCCTCTCTGCTCCTATGATGCTGCTTGGCCTGCTGTGTTCATCCAGCCCTGCACCTTGTTGTCCAGGATGGTGTGTTGCTTCCCGAGTACCAGGGTCCGGGATATCTCAGAGCAGCTGCAGAACATTCTCAAGGGGGAGGGTGAGCAGCCAGAAGCCATTGTGCATGTTGGCACAAATGACATGGGTAGAAATATGGATGAGGTCCTGCGGAGTGATTACAGAGAGCTAGGAAAAATGTTTTAAAAATCAGGACCTCGACGGTGGTAATCTCCAGATTACTTCCAGTGCCACGTGCTAGTGAGGGTGGAAACAGGAGGATATGGCAGATAAATGGGTGGCTAAAGAATTGGTGCAGGGGGCAGGGGGTTCAGATTGCTGGATCATTGGGACTTTTCTGGGGCAGAGGTGACCTGTTCAAGAGGGACAGGTAACAGCTGAACTGGAGGGAGACTGATATCCTGACGAGCAGATTTGCTAGTGCTGCCAGGGAGGGTTTAAACTAGATTGGCAGGGGATTGGGATCCTCAACAGCAGGGAGATGACTGCGAGACTCCAAGGAGATACAGTAATCAGAAATAACAAGTTGAAGAGACAGGTCAGGCTGGAACAGGACAGGGAGTGAGGAATGTCTGTTGGATTAAATTGCATCTGTTTCAATGCGAGAGGGCTGACAGGTAAGGCTGATAAACTCAGGGCATGGATAGGTACGTGGGACTTGGATATTATAGCCATTACAGAAACGTCACTAAGGGAGGGACAGGGCTGGCAGCTTACTGTGCCAGGGTACAGTTACTTTAGGCAGGACAGAAGTGGAGGACGAGTTGCATTTTTGATTAAGGGGCATATCACAACAGTGGTCAAAGATGAAATAACTGAGGGATCCTCCAGTGAGGCTTTGTGGGTGGATCTAAGAAATAAGAAGGGGATGGTGACATTATTGGGGTTGTATGATAGGCTAGCAATGCCCATATCCTCAGAGAAGAAGCTAATATGAAATGGGACTCTCTATCCCTCTGACTATGGATGATGGTCAGTCATAGAATCAGGATCCCTAAGGTGTGTGGAAACCGGCTATTCGGCCCATCAAGTCCACACCGAACCTTCAAACAGCATCCCCCTACCCTATCCCTGTAACCCTGCATTTCCCATGGCTAACCCACCCAGCCTGCACATCCCTGGACACGCTGGGCAATTTAGCGTGCCCACTAAACCTAATCTGCAGTCTTTGGACTGTGGGAGGAAACCAGAGCACCCGGAGGAAACCCACACAGACACAAGGAGAATGTGCAAACTCCACACAGACGGTCGCCCGAGGGTGGAATTGAACCTGGGTCCTTCGTGCTGTGAGGCAGCAGTGCTAACCACTGAGCCACCATGCTGCCCCAAAATGTCAATGTTCAAGCTGAAGCCAATCTGGTTGGTTCTGATCTGTTAGATTAAAAATATCAAGGGATGAAACAATAAGATAAACAGGATTGAGATACAGATCAGTTCCTGATCGAATTGGATAATGGAACAAATTTTGGGGGTTGAATGATGGCTCCCGTTCTGATTTTATTGCCACGATGTTTAGACAATTTAACACAAAAGGAGGCAAAAATGGATTGAATTGGAGTTTGGAACTGTCTAAATAAAACTCTAAGTGATTGCGATTTCTGCCAGTATCATCTGACGTGTCTGTTTCTTTTGTCAACTTCCATGGCAGATCTTTGGGATTTTAAAGGTCCCTTTCATAGACAAAGGGGAAGGGCCAATGTTGAGACTGGAAGACCTCGGAGATCAGAGATACGCTCCGTATCGGTACATATTACGGCTCTGTTACAGAGTGCTTCGGCACTCTCAGCAGGATTATAGGAAGAATCAGGTAGGTACTGTGTATTGCTAACACCATTAAGATTGTGTATATTACTAACATGTACACTGAAAACAGATGCATTAAATTTACTGGGGAGAGAAAGGTTACTCACTCACGCAAGACTTCAGAATGGATATGGATTCAGTTTGGAGAATGCTTTTGCAACTCTTGTTCTTGATCCCTCATTTGCCAGCAGGCCTTCACAAAAGGTTTTGCCTTTCAGGAGTACATTGCAAAGATGTTTGGCATCATGCAGTCCCAGATTGGATACGATGTGTTAGCAGAGGACACCATCACAGCCTTACTACACAACAACAGGAAGCTGCTGGAGAAGCACATCACAGCGAAGGAGATTGAAACTTTTGTCAACCTGCTGCGAAGGAACAGGGAGCCCAGGTGGAATAGTTTGCGCTTGTCTGACCTTTCCTTTTCCCCAAGGCTTTTCTTTCCCGTTTGTGGTTAAAATTAAATTGTTTCTTGGCAAGAGTTCTCACTTGGATCTAACAACAAATGCAAGAATAGCACATTTCAAACAATCACGACAATTTATGCTACCTTTCCCCTGTAGTGTAAATTATTAGTCATACAGCACGGAGACAGGCCCTTTAGTCCATCCAGTCCATGCTGACTGTAATCCCAAACTAAACTAGACCCACCTGCCTGCATTTGACTTGAATCCCTCCAAACCTTTCCTGTTCATGTACTTATCCAAATGTCCTTTAAATGCTGTAACTGTATTCACATCCGACGTTTTCATTCTGCAATTCATTCCACACATGAACCACTCTGTTTTAAAAAAAATGCTCCCCATGTTATTTTTAAATCTTTCTCCTCTCACCTTATGCCCCTGAGTTTTGAATGCCCCCACCCTAGGGAAAAGACCCTTGCTATTCACCTTAGCTGTACCCCTTATGATTTTATAAACTTCATAAGATCACCCCTGAACCCCTCATGCTGCAGTGGGGGAAAAAAAAACAGTCCCAGCCTATTTTTATATCTCAAACCCTCCGGTCCTCGCAACATCCTGGTAAATCTTTTCTGAACCCTCTCCAGTTTGATAATAGCCTTCCAAGTTGTTGTGGTAGTTCAGAATTTGGTATTCTTGCATTGGTCCTGATGAGTGCGAGGTTCAGCACCATGTTTGTCTTTGAATAATAATCAAGCTGTACCGTGCAAAATAATTTGAAAATACAAATAATTTGCTGTATGTGTTTTTTTTTCCTCACCAGAAATTACAGAACGTTTTTTTTTCTTACCTTATAATAATAGCATGGCCTTTAACTCACTACTAGGTGCCAGCAAATTCCAGACCAGTTGTTTGGTTGTGTGCCACAGGAATTGGTGATAAAACACTTGACTGTTTATGGTATTGTTTTCCTCGCAGGTTCTTAGATTACTTGTCAGACCTTTGTGTGTCCAACAACATTGCTATCCCAGTCACTCAGGAACTGATCTGCAAATTCATGTTGAATGCTTCCAATGCTGACATCCTCATTCAAACCAAGTAAGCACCATTCTCTGCAGGACTGTCTGTCGTTCTGAAAACTGGGCGGTTTATGAGCATCACATGTTGGCAGCATAAAACTGTAGGGAGAGCTGATACAATGTCCCCCTTTTACCAGTGTGTCTCAATAGAACACAGAACGGTACAGCACAGGCCCTTCAACCCACAATGCTGTGCCGAACATGATGCCAAATTAAACTAACCCCTTCTGCCTGCCCTAGGTCCAAATCCCTCCATTCCTTGCTTATTCATCTGCTTATCTAAAAATCTCTTAAACATCCCTATTGTATCTGCCTCTACCACCACCCCTGGGGGTGCGTTCCAGACTCCAACCACTCCCTGTGTAAAAAATGCGTCTCCTTTGAACTTTCCCCCTCTTATCTTAAATGCATGCCCCCAAGTATTAGACATTTTAACTCCGGGGGGGAAAACTCTGACTGTCAACCCTATCTGTGCATCTCATAATTTTATAAACTTCTATCAAGTCTCCCCTCAGCCTGCGCCACTCCGGAGAAAACAACCCGAGTTTTTCTAGCCTCTCCTTTATAGCTGATGCCCTCTAATCCAGGCAGCATCCTGGTAAACCTCTTCTGCATCCTCTCCAAAGCCTCCACATCCTTCCTGTAATGTGGCGACCAGAATTGAATGTAACACTCTAAGGGTGGCCTGACCAATGGTTATCACTCCGTTCCTACACTGCTGCATTGTGAACCTATTCCTCAGTAATTCTAAAATATTATTGAAATGTACAAAATTATTAATTTCTATTCTTGAAACCTGATCAATTCCGTTTGAGTACAACAAAGAACTGCGGATGCTGAAGAACCTGAAACAAAAGCAGAAAGTGCTGGAGAAACTCAGCAGGTCTGGCAGCATCCAAGGAGGGAAAGCAGAGTTAACGTTTCGAGGTCTGGTGACCCTGGAAGAATGATTCTTGGACTCCAAGCTGCCTTCCACCCGTAGATGCTGCCAGACCTGCCACTTTTATTTCAAGTTAAATGTGACAATGTGACAATGCAGCTCTGACAAAGGGACAAAGATGCTGGAAATCTGAAATAAAACAGTGCCTACTAGATAAACGTACAAGCCTATGAATGAATGCATCAATTAGGAGCAGGAGTAGGTCATTCCGTCCCTTGACTCCACATCCCTACCTCCCTCCAACTATCTGTGACTCCTTGGTCAGTGAGGAGTCTGTGTGTCTGCCTGAAGTCTACAGAATGAACCTGCCACTGTCTGGGGGAGAGTTCAACAGACGCACGAGCCTCTGACAGAAAAATAAAACACTTTTCCCTGTCTTTTAATGGGAAACCATTTTATTATTAAACGGTGTCCTCCAGTTGTGGTCTGTCCCAGAAGGATGAACATGGTTTAGCACCCAAACTGTCAGTCCGGGCTGGTTGATGAAGTGGTAACCGTGTGGAGCTGGAGGAGCACAGCAGGCCAGGCAGCATCAGAGGAGCAGGAAAGTCGACGTTTCGGGTCGGCACCCGTCCTCCGGAAAAACAAAAATTTCTGAGGAAGGGTCCCGACCCAAAACGTCAGCTTTCCTGCTCCTCTGATGCTGCCTGGCCTGCTGTGTTCATCCAGCTCCACGCTGTGCTATCCCTGACTCCAGCATCGGCAGTTCCTACTATCTCAGGCTGATGAAGTGGATTTTCTGTTCCTCCCCGCACAGCCTGTCTGGTAGTTGCGTTCAGTTTCCTTCACGAGGCACTGATGTGGACGGACTTATGGGCCTTGCTTCCAGAGGCTCATGGGAATTGAGGAGTTGGATGTGCCACACTTTGCCTCTGCACCACAGGGTCCTGAGTTCAAGTATGGCTTATTCAGAGTCGCACAACCCGGAAACAGACCCTTTGGCCCAGCTCATCCATGCTGACCAGGTTTCCTATACTGAGCTATTCCCATTTGCCAGCATTTGGCCCATATCCCTCTAAATCCTTCCTATGCATATACCCGTCCAGATGCCTTTTAAATGATGTAATTGTACCACTTCCTCTAGCAGCACATTCCATATACACACCACCCTAAATGTGAAAAAGTTAGGTCCCTCGGCTCCCTTTTAAATCCTTCCCCTCTCACCTTAAACCTATGCCCTGTGGTTTTGGCCTCCCCTATCCTGGGGAAAAGACCTTGACTATTCACCCTATCCATGCCCTTCACGATTTTATTAAACCTCTATAAGGTCACCCCTCAGCCTCCTACGCTCCAAGGGAGAAAGTCCCGGCCTATCCAACCTATCCCTATAATTCAAACCCTATAGTCTTGGTAATGTCCTTGTAAATCTTTAATGCGCCCTTTCCAGTTTAATAACACCCTTCCCATAGCAGGGCAACCACAATGTACTCCAAAAATAGCCTCAGCAATGTCTTGTACAGCAAAGTGCAGAAAAACCAATGCTGAGACTCCAGTGCGGTACTGAGTGAGTGCTGCATTGTCGGAGGTGCTGCCTTTTGGATGAAACATTAAACGGAAATCCCACCCATTTATTGAGGGCGATTTGTCAAGGTGCTGAAGAAGAGTCGTTCTCCCTGGCCAACTTCTGCCCCCGGTCAACATCTCAACCCCCACAACCCCGATTATTCCTCTGTTAAGCATATTCAGAACACAACTGTTAGTCTGTGGTGCTGACAGAACAGCGGGGAACAACTGGGAAGGTCAGATTTTGTTTTTTGAGCAGTTTGATTTGTTTTTCTGAGAGATTTGGGTTGGAGGAAGAGGTCTGGCTCTGAAAGATTTTGTTATTTGGAAAGGTGAGGGTTGACGAGGCTTGTGGAAACTGTCTCGCTGTTTTCAGACCCTGCAGAGGTACGTCAGAAGGGACCGAGAGTCCCAGGTTGATAAGCTGTTCCTCTCGGCTAATTCTGCAAGGGAAGCAGATTTAAAATTTTTAGCAGAAGTATTTGGGGACGGAGACGTTTGTGAAAGAACATTTTTAACGCAGCAAGCAGTTGAGACCTGGAACGCTGTGCTTTCAAAGGGGTGGAAGCTGAGGTGGTGAATGATTTCAGAAGGAAAATGGACAGGCGCTTGAGGGCTGGGGGTTGGAGCAGTGCAGGTGGGAATGAACCAGATTGCTCTGCTTAGAACTTGCATTAACTGAGTGAGTCAGATTTTCCTCCTCCCTGTGCTATACATGGCAGGAGTTTACAGCTATTTGTGGCTCGAGTATTGTTCACGTTAGTGTTCTGCTCTGTAAAGGCTGTTATCAAACCGTGGGGATTTGAGTATTGAAAACTCCTTGCTTGAAGATGATGTTGATGAGGATGAGGTTTGGTTGTACTGGATCGATGGAGACAAAGAGCCACACGGCAAATCCATACGGCAGCTGGCTCAGGAAGCAAAGGAGGGAAACCAGGAGGATCAGGACATTTTAACGTACTACAGGTAATTATTCTTTAGTAATCTAGTTTTTGTTTAAATGTCTTTTGAAATACGTACGGTTGGACTGAATTTACTCTCTGGCTTTCTTTTTTCCACAACAACACTTTTTTTCTTTTTTGCATTTATATAGCTTCCTTCACCTAGTAATATGTCCCAAGGTGCCTCTCTGAGCATCAGCAGGAGTCTGCTGATGACAGAGCCAAAGAGAGGGCGATGTGTGAGGGTTGGTGACCCAAGAGAGCGATTTTAAGGACCATCTTATTGAAGGAGATGGGCGTTGATGGATTTAGGGAGAGAATTCCAGAGATCTTGGGAGGGTTGTTGGGGATTGAGGATATTTAAGTTGTTCCTTTATTGGCTCATGTGATGTGGGCATGACTGGCAAGGATAGCATTTGTTGCCCGTCCCATTTCGCCCAAGAACTGAGGATCTTATTATTTTAATCAACCTGGTCGGACAGGTTAGACAGATTAGACAGATACCACTGTGTAGGTGGGAGTTGAAACTAGACCCCCTGGTGTCGAAGTAGGGACACTACCTCCATGCCGCAAGCCCCTTGAATTGAGGGTCTTACTAGGCCATTTCAGAAAGTGTCAGTGGAGTCTGGAGCCCCTTTTAGGGCTCGACCTACAAGACCTAATGAGCGAGATGGATTTTTGCAATGATTAATGATGATAATTTCCTGGCCTTCACTCCTCCTGAGCCCTGTTTCATAGTCCAGATTTACGAATTGAATTTAAATCCCACCAGCATTGACATTACTACGACATCCGCATCGCCCCCTAAAGCAAGGGTGGAAATTTTAAAATGTGGGCATTGCTGGGACTGGATACGAGCAGCAGCATTTCGAAATGAGCTGGCATTGGCTCAGTGGTTAGCACTGCTGCCTCACAGCGCTAGGGACCTGGGTTCGATTCCACCCTCGGGTGACTGTCTGTGTGGAGTTTGCATATTCTCCCCGTGTCTGTGTGGGTTTCCTCTGGGTGCTCCGGTTTCCTCCCACAGTTCAAAGATGTGCAGGTTAGGGTGGATTGGCCATGGGAAATTGCCCCGTGATGTGCCGGCTGGGTGGGTTAGCCATGGGAAATGCAAGGTTACAGGGATCGGGTTGGGGGGAGGGGGGTGGTGTGAATTTGGGTGGGATGCCTTTCAGAGTGTGGACTCGAGCGGCTGAATGGACTCTTTCCACTCAGTAGGGATTCTGTTTGAGGAGGGTCACAGACGCGGGTTGACAGTGGTTTTAATCACTGCCCTTTTTTTCCCACCTTCCGTTCCCCACAGGTACCAGCTGAACCTTTTTGCGAGAATGTGCCTCGATCGTCAGTACCTTGCCATCGACCAGATCTCGACACAGCTGGGAGTGGATCTCATCCTGCGCTGTATGTCGGATGAGAATCTCCCGTACGATCTGCGGGCTTCTTTCTGCCGGTTGATGCTGCACATGCATGTGGACCGCGACCCGCAGGAATTGGTCACCCCGGTGAAATACGCCAGGCTGTGGACCGAAATCCCAACCAAGATTACAATTCACGAGTACGCTTTGGATTCTGAGCTTGCGTATTGTTTAGTCAGTGCCGCAGAATGATGAAGTAACTAGCTGTGCATCACCTGAGTCGATGACCTCATGGTTTGAATCCTCTCTTAGAATTATTTGAGCCAAGCAGAATTAAAGAATTTGCACTTGTATAGCACCTGTCACGACTTCAGGAAAGAGAGTGCGTGAATAAAGCACAGTTAGCAAGAACATAAGAAATAGGAGCAGGGTTACCTTTAGCCTGTACCATTTAATAAGGTCGTGGCTGAGCCAATTGTAGCCTCAACTGTATTTTACTGTTCGTCCCCATTAACCCTTGACCCCCTTGTTGGGTTAAAAATCTGCCTGACTCTGGCCCGAACATATTCAATGGCCCAGTCTGAATGGCCTGTATTCATATTGTTGATTCCATGTAATATTGTATAACTCACCCGTAGCCCAGAGGAATTACACACAATTCATAAGAGAATATTTTACTGTTTAATCGGCATTTATCAATTATATGAAAGAAAAACAATATTAGGAAAGGTTTCCAGAGGATTGGTATTTTAAATGTTTTTACACCACATTCACTGGGTGCGAAAAGTTGTTTGCTTTCATATTTTTGTGATGACAATATTATATTGATCCCAATGTGCGTCGGCTGTGTAATGAGGTACCTGCCTGGTGAAGCATCTCTAAACGTTCCTATCCATGGGCAGGTACGACTCAGTGACAGACATCTCCCGTGACGATAAAAAGAACAAGTTTGCTCTTACGGTGGATTTTGTGGAGGAGTACCTTAAAGATGTTGTGACTCAGCCATTCCCATTCGGAGACAAGGAAAAGAACAAGCTCACTTTTGTGGTGAGTAACAGGGAATGAAATTAATCACGGAATCATCACGGAGCAGAAAGAAGCTCTTCAGCCCATCGTGACTGATTCTATCCCCTAGTGCCAATCCTCTGCCTTTTCCCTATGTCCCTCCATGCCATCTCTATCCAAAGAACCATCCAGTGCCATCTGCAATGCCTTTATTCAACCTGCCTCTTTCACATTTCAGTGCATTGCAGATCCTAACTACATGCTGTGCGATTCTTTGCTGTAAATACACTGTTCCTCATTTTTGGGGTTTATGATGTGATTATTAACGTGGAGATGAGATCCTGCATTGACCTGGGGTGAGCCCTGTATAATGGGAAATAAGTTTTCCAGTTTCTGCTGACTGTGACAGCACAATTGAGTTTGATAGTGCAGACCCACTGACTAAAATCACTCTCTGTTCCATTTCCAGGTGGTGAATTTAGCCCGGAACTTAATCTACTTCGGGTTCTACAGCTTTAGGGAGCTTCTGAGGCTAACACGAACACTCTTGGCCATCCTGGACTGTGTCCAGAATCCTACACCATCATACTTGGAAAGACTCAGCAAGTTTCAGGATGGAGGTGTGTGTAGAGCGCGCCCTCATTTCATGTTCTGATTGAACAGGCGAAGCTAAACAAAACAAATCCTCAATATTATTGTGTGAAATTGTTGAATCCTCGGTCCCTCGTTAATCCTCCTGATTTGATGCTTTTGCTACCTTAACTAAAATCAAGTTTTTTTTGTATTGACCTGATGATCTTGACATCACTGCCTCAGTGAAAATAAACTCAGCCGCTGTACATTATTTTAATGTGCACTTTTGTGGGATGCAGGTGTGACTGGGAAGGCCAATATTTGTTTATTCTTCCATAATTTCCAATGAAAAGGAGTAGTTTTCTAGACCACTTCAGAGGGTAGTTAAGAATCAACCCCATTGCAGCGGGTCTGGAGTCGGCTACGTCAGATTTCCTTCCCTTAAGGACATTCATGAAGCAAATGGGTTTTCACAAAAGTCAGTGTAGATTCATGGTCATTATCACTGGGACTGGCTTTCAATTCCTGATTTATTCATTGAATTTAAATTCAATCACAGGCTGTGGTCAGATTTCAACCCCTCTCTCCAAAGCATTGGTTTTGACGTCTAGTGATAGTGCCACTAGTCCAACATTGCCCACCAACAGAAACCGCTGATGCTCATTACTGAAGTTACACCTTTTGGCAAAAAACATGGTCTGACGCACAATGCTGAGCAGAGGAAATTAGTTTGCCTTTAGTTTAGTTTTACTCTGATTTAAAAAATTATTTTCAAAGCATTGTTATTTTCGGACATTTCCATTTACACTGAGCCCCTGAATTGCCCTGCTTGTAGATTCTGTAATTGGCCAGCATTGTCTGCTGTCTGGTGTGTGTTCCATCCATATCCAGTCGAACGCTACTGTTTTGAGCTCCCATCATATTCTGCACCAAATGCCACTTGACTAAAAGTAAAGTCGCTGACAACCCTACCAGACCATAGAGCTGCTCTCTCTCATTCGAGAGAGGTGATGGTTTAACCTGAGGGTCACCACGCCTCCGATGAGGGGAGACGTACAGGAGGAGCATACCTCGGCCAGTGCGGGACTTGAACCCATGCTGTTGGGCATCACTCTCCCTCACAAACCTGCCATCCAGCCAACTGAACTAACAAACCCCTGACCCACTTGGCCACTGTGTTACCTGTAGTTCTGCACAATTTGCAGATATTTTATTAACATTGCATGTGACGTATTGCTAATTTAGTTTTTATCCCGGAGATCCCTCGTTTTAACTTTGATGGAGGCTTTGCCCCTAAAAGATGTCCAATCACATTCTCCAACACTGTTGTGAACATATATTGGGGATAGAATTTTGAGTGGCATGTATGGGGCAAGGTTTGTAGATTGTCCTGCTCCTGGGCACTGGGAGGAGCCTACCACAAACAATGCCTGACCCAAATGCAAACTGTGGGCAATTCTTGGCCAGGATACCTCAGTTGCTAGCGCTCTCTGCTCAGCATCAGAATATCACGGGTTCAAATCCCACTCCAGACTCTTCAGCAGTGTTCCCCCTTTCAGCTGAGCGAGCATTGCGTTGTTATGGGTGCAGCCCTTTCAATGAAATGTTGAACTAAGGCCTCCTGGTTGCACAATTTTTTTTAAAGAAGAAAAGTCGAGTGGCACAGTTTCAAAGACGGGGAGGGGAATTCTCCTCCACGTTTATCCCTGGACCGCACCTTGAGAAGTTCATGCTTTGTCACTGGTGGGATCTTGCTGTGTGCAGACTGGTTGCTAATGACGGTGGGGCGCTACATTCCCTGGGAAGTACTCTGAGACACCGGAGGTTGCTATGTAAATGCAAGTCCTTTCTGTTCTTTGCCTTTTTTTTGTCCAATTGCCCCTGCTCCCAACTGCCCCTTTGCCCGCATACAGGGGTGTCCAGGGTCCCAGCGGATAGTCAGAATCCTGTTTCCACCACCCCCCCCCCCCCCCCCCCCCCCCCCCCCCGAGGCGAGAGTGCGATCTGCTTAGTCAGCGCACCACATGCTCCTCACCTGTCTCCGTCGCTCCCCTCCCCCCGGCCTTTGCAGGGAACAACGTGATGCGAACGATCCATGGAGTGGGCGAGATGGTGACTCAGATGGTGCTGAGCCGAGGTTCCCTCCTGCCTGGTGTTCTGCCAGACAATCCCGACAGCCAGGTCCGCAGCGCTCCAGGGAAACAGCCGCACGCCCTGGACACCGAGGATGTGACCGTCATGGATACAAAGCTGAAAATCATCGAGATCCTGCAGGTGTGCTCTCCACAGATTTGAAATTTTTATCGGCATGGCCTGGGTTTGGTAGCGAGCACCAGGAGAGAGGTTTATCAGTGTTAGCTGCTTTTGTACAATGTGGGTGTGATTACAGAGCAGCTCATTAACGTCTTCATTAAATTAATCTCACCAAGCTCTATAAATACAGGATAAGCTGCTAATTCAGGGACTGGACTGACTGATATCTCTGAACAGGTTGATTTTTAAACAACTCCAGTGAGATATTTACCCTGCAGAATAGTATTCTGGAGTGTCCCTACCTCAGAGCCTGAAGGTCAGGGTTTAAGTCCCACCTGCCCCAGAAGCCTGTTGTAATGTTGAACAGGTTGACTTTTTTTTTCCAAAATGACCGTCCCACTGAGAAAAAGGCCATTTGGCCCTGTTCTGACCCCAGGTGACCCTGTCCCACCTTTGGTCCATCTCACCCAAGCAGGAGGCCTGAATGTGCTGATCCGATTTCCCCCTTCAATGCATGTGCCATGTACACTTGGGTTGTGGTTCATCTTGTGTGAAAGTTTGGCCAAGTGACCCTGGTGTCAGTGGTTTAGTTTAGAAACCAATCCCTTCGTATTTGCATCAGCGCACTGTTTAAAGTCAGACTGCCCCTGGTGCTTGTCTATCTGGTAGAATCATTGACAAGTACACCATTGAAGGCAGCTGTCTCCCTCGGCATATTTGTGCATGTGCCTTTGGCTCCGTTTTATGGTAGTTTTGAGGTCAGGGAAACTGTCAGCTGTGCAGTGGGAGTCTCTATATGCTGCTTCTGTGAAAGTCAACTCCTTACTTTATTGTCAAAAAATTTTGAGAGTCTTGATGTTTAGCCAAGTGTATACAGTAGGCTGTTCACCTGAACTGCTCTCTAGTAGCAAGTTGTGCATTCTCGATCCTCAATGAGTAAAGGCTTTCTTTTTCCTGATGTCTCTATTGGATTTATTAACTGCTTTCAGATATTTATAGTCTCCTTGTTTTTGTCTCTCCTGTTGTCTCTCTACATCTAACCTCACCAACTCATTTGGTGGTGGCTGACCATTTAACAAACCTGAAAGCTTTCTGTTTTGAAAATTCACCCCAGCATGTTTGATCCTGACCCCTTGTTAAAGTCCATCTGCACCTGCCTGGAATTGTGAAAAGGGCTTTACTTTTCAGTTCATCCTCAGCGTCAGGCTGGACTATCGCATCTCCTACATGCTGTCGATCTACAAGAAAGAATTTGGAGAGAACAATTCCGTTGACTCCTCAGCGGGTTTATTGACGGAAACCACGGGTGAGTGTACGCCTCCCTTTCTGTCCTTCTGAAAGGAAGTTCCTCTCTCTCTCTCTCAGTTGGGCTGATGACTGTTTTCGGGGTGACTGCTTTTGGTCCAAAGCTGTTTCTCATCCTCTGGTCAAGATAAAGAGGAAATCCGAGTTGGATTGTTGCAATTTGGAAGTTTGAATGTTGTGCTGATCATTTTGATTTCCTCTATGCAGCAAAAATATTCTGGGGCCGAGTGATTCACTGTTAACTAGAATGCTACAAATAGCTGCATGCTGCCGTGTGTCTGGTTTACATTATGCATAGCACCCTTGCTTTATATATGATCAGTGTGAAATGTGCAACTGTGTTATGGGCTGGTTTGGAATGATGGAATAGAATATCACTCGCTCTCTCTCTCGCATTCTCTCTCGCGTTGGGACTCACTGGGTCACGGATCCCACATTCTGTCAAAGTAACTGATTTGCTCTGAACGCTCCTTTTGCCCCAGGCTCCTGCTGAGCGAGGAGGATAAGACACGGTGGCCTTGTCACACACTTTGCTTTTCTCCTTTCTCCACCCTCCTTATCCTTTTTCATTTTCCTCATTTTTTTTTTCTTGCTCTGTAGCTCTCTCACGCTGTCTGTCCTCTGTCTTCAATTGTAGAATCCCTACAGTGTGGAAGCAGGCCATTTGGCCCATTTGAGTCCACACCATCCCTCTAAAGAACATCCCACCCAGACCCATCTCCCTACGCAATCCCTGTAAATCTGCATTTCCCATGTCTAGACCCCCTAGCCTGCACATCTTTGCACACTACGGGCAATTTAGCATGGCCGATCCACCCTAATCTGCACACATTTGGACTGTGGGAGGAAACCCATGCAGACACTGGGACAATGTGCAAACTGCACACAGACAGTCTGTTGGAGGGTGGAATCGAACGTGGGTCCTTGTGAGGCAGCAGTGCTAACCACTGAGCGGCTGTATCGCCTGAGACTCTGTAAGCATTTATAAGGGTAGGTCTTCATGCTTGTGAACATGAACAGGTTTTATAAAACAATTTGAGACAAGGCTTTGTAGGATAGGAAATGGTAAGGTTCCAGCTCTGATTCTGTGTAATCTGACCAGACTGTGTGACATTGCTCTGGTACATGTGGGTATTAAACCCATTAGGTCAAAGGTCGCTCAGATAGCGTCCAGGCATATGCCTTTCCCATCAGCATTTTATTTCCACTCGGACATCGCAAACCTAATCTAAAATACACAGATTACCTTTTACCAATTAACCAGACAATTCCTCACCTGATTATCCCTTAATTAACATGTCGGAAAGTGAGAGGCCATGCACTTTGCTAGGAAGAATAGAGGCATGGGCTATTTTCTAAATGGGGAGAAAATTAAAAAATCTGAAGTCCAAAGGGTCTTGGGAGTCATGGTCCATGTTTCTCTTAAGGTAAACTTACAGGTTGAGTTGGTATTTAGGAAGGCAAATACAATGTTGGCACTTATCTCAAGAGAACTAGATTATAAAAGCAGTGATGTACTTCTGAGGCTTTATAAAGCTCTGGTCAGGCCACATTTAGAGTATTGTGAGCAATTTTGGGCCCCTACCTCAGGAAGGATGTACTGGCCCTGGATCAGGTCCAGAGGAGATTCACAAGAATGATCCCAGGAATGAAAGGCTTAACATATGAGGACAATTTGAGGACTTAGTGTCCATACTCGAAGTTTGGAAGAATGAGGAGAGATCTAATTGAAACTTACAGAATACTGAATGGCCTGGACAGAGTGGATGATGGGAAGATGCTTCCATTGGTAGGAGAGTCTAGGATCCGAGGGCACAGCCTTGGAGTAAAGGAAGACGCTTTAGAATGGAGATAAGGAGAAACATCTTCAGCCAGAGAGTGGTGAATCTATGGAATTCGCTGCCACCGAAGGCTGAAGAGACCAGGTCATTGAGTACATTTAAGACTGAGATCGATAGGTTTTTGATTGTCAAGGGGATCAAGGGTTACGGGGAGAAAGCGGAAGAATGGGGTTGAGAAACTTATCCACCATGATTGAATTGCGGAGAGACTCGAAGGGTTGAATGGCCTGAGTTCTGTTTCTGTGTCTTACAGTCTTATGGGTTGGACAGTAGAGATGGAATGCAGAAGCTCATAATCATACAGTCATACAACATGGAAACAGACCCTTCAGTCCGAACATAATCCCAAACTAAACTGGTCCCGCCTGCTTGCTCCAGATCCACATCCCTTCAAACCTTACCCATTCATGTACTTATCTGGGTGTTTTTTTTTAAAAATGTTGTGACTGTCTCTGCGTCCACCACATCCTCAGGAAGTTCATTCCACACATGAACTACTGTCTGAGTTTAAAAAAAAAAATTGGCCCCTCGTCTTTTTTTTTAAATCTCTCCCCTCTGGCCTCAAAAATATGTTCCCTAGTCTTGAAATCCTCCAGCGGTGTTCAGTGATCTCTGTCCAAGTGAAATGCGGTGTATTTGATGTATTTCGGGTGATATTGATTCAGCAGTCTGTTTGTCCATCTCTGCTGATCTTCAAGTCCCCAGGCCTCCCTCAGTTAGAGATGTGTGACAGGTCGTTGGGTCAGTGTCACTTGTAGCCAAACGTCTGAATGTTATTTGATCGTTATTCTTTGAGGAGTGGTTGGAGTGTAATTTAATCTGGAAAGGATCACAATGCTGGTATTTTGAGGAGGTTGTTTTTTAAAGTGACCTTGTTTTGTTTTGTTTTGTTTTGTATAGTACCAGACCTCGAGGGAATTGGTGAACAGGCTGAGACAATGTTTGCAGGAAGGTACGGAGCACTGACATTTGGTTTCTTCTCTCTGTACTTTATGGTTAAAAACTTTTTAGCGGTAAAGGTTTGTGACTCTGATATTGTAATGTGATGAATAGACACCTCCCCAAGTTGCTGGCCTGTGTATTTAAATAGTCTGAAGTAAAGACAAAATTCACCTCTACTTATAGCTACCGTAGTCAATTAATGAATCATTCTTGGAAGCAAGCTGCAACATTTACTGGCTGAGCCTCCAAGGAAGGCTTAATATTCATTGTTCGCAATGTAAGGTAAATGGTGTAGCTGCAAGAAACACGGTACGCTTCACGAATTATGAATATTTGATCCTTTTAGCTCTAAGATATTGCAAACTTGCAAGTGTTATACCTATTCCCTGAAACAGGTTTTCCGTCACAGTATACCCTTTCACTCACTTGGAACAATGCCACCATGGAACTGTTGTTGGCCAGTTTAAATATGGAGTGGAATTCTGGCTTGGTTTCCAGAATTTTCCACAACATGATAGTTTGGGGAATTAATCAGTCTTAGCACCTCATGCTACGCACTGATCCAGCTGAGAGAAAGCACTAGGATGGCTGGGTTTGAATCTGTGGTCCCTTGAATTTCCTCCAACAACATGTTATGCTGCAAATATTTTTTTTTGAGTGGTTGTATATTAGGAGGAGTTTGTGCCTCGTTCGCTGTGTCTTCTGGACCTAAAAGCGGTGTATTCTAGTCCCGCTCCAAAGACTTCACAATCCAGAAACTGAACTGCACACACCACGTAAACACAGTGGCTACAAGAGCAGGTCAGAGGCTAGGAATATCGCGATGAGTAACTCACCTCCTGACTCCCCAAAGCCTGTCCACCATCTACAAGGCACAAGGCAGGAATGTGATGGAATACTCCCCACTTGCCTGGATGGGTGCAGCCCCAACAACACTCAAGAAGCTTGACACCATCCAGGACAAAGCCGGCTTGATTTTCATCCCATCCACCATGTGCAACACCCCCACTCCCTCCACCGCCGATGCTCAGTATCAGCAGTGTGTACCATCTACAAGATGCGCTGCAGAAATTCACCAAAGATCCTCAGGCAGCACCTTCCAAACCCACGACCACTTCCATCCAGAAGGACAAGATATATGGGATCACCATCCCCTCCAAGTCACTCACCATCCTGACCTGGAAATATCTCGCCGTTCCTTCACTGTCGCTGGGTCAAAATCCTGGAATTCCCTCCGTAAGGGCATTGTGGGTGGTCCTACAGCACATGGACTGCATGTGGTTCAGGAAGGCAGCTCCCCACCACCTCAAGGGGCTGAGAGAGATTTGCAATTAATGCTGGCCTAGCCAGCAATACCCACCTACTGTGAACAAATAAAACAATTTAGTTTTTAAAAATTGCTATTGTTTTATCTGTTTATCCCATTGCTGTTCAAGTAACTTGCTGCGCACAGATTAATTTCCCTGTGGCCTCCATTTCCAACAGCGACTGCTCTTCAATGACATGCTCTCAATTGACAGTGCAGTTCTGGAGAAATGTAAATTACAATTCAACATGTAAAGTCTGTGCTAATAATTTAATCCTGCTCTGTAGCCAAGAGAAAAACCCAGTGGAGCTGGATGACGAAGGAGGGAGAACGTTTCTGCGAGTGCTCATACACCTGATTAAACACGATTATCCCCCGCTTGTGTCTGGTGCCTTACAGCTCCTCTTCAAACACTTCAGTCAGAGAGCAGAGCTCCTTCAAGCCTTTAAACAGGTCAGTGCTCACTTCATTGTGGTGCCAGTTCCCTTGCATTTCATTGTCTTCCTTCATTCTCTCGCGCTCTCTCTCTCTCTCGCTCTCTCTCTCTGTCTCTCCTTCCATCTGTTCACAGGAACAAGAGTTGACCACCTTGAGCCTGTCTTCCTTTCCCTTACAAAGCTGGGTTGGATTCTGCACCTGGGGGTGACGAGAGGTTTGACCTTGAGGATGAGATTGTGAGGGGTAACAGCATGGTGTCGCAGAAGATGGCTGAACAGTCCCTGGTGTGGATTAAACAGAAATTTGGATGGTTTCATGTATGTGGAGGGCAAAAGATATGTGACTGTCCCAGGAGAGCTTCAGTGAGCCAATAGCTGTGCAAAGTCTTTCCTTTTCATTTTTCTTTCTTTTAAGTTTGAAAGAATTGATATTTTAAAGACTAACACATCTTGTTTTCCCCCTCTGTCTTGCGTTCCAGGTCCAGTTGTTGGTTTCCTCTCAGGATGTGGACAATTACAAGCAAATTAAAGCAGACCTGGACTTGTTGCGGTTAACAGTGGAAAAATCAGAACTGTGGGTGGAAAAGAGAGGAAGTTACGGCGGCAGTGAGACCCAGACTGAAGGAGCAGACGATGTGAAATCTGAGGTGTGTTCAGGACAAAGACCTGGGCTTTCCATTCGGACCCTGGTTTTCCAGTGTATTTTACCTCAAATTGGTGGAACCAGCACAGTGTTGTCAAAACTTCAAGCTCACACAAACGTTTTGATGATCTTTGCGCTAATGAAAGACTCGAACCTTTCAGCATTAACGCTGATGAAGATGTAAAGTACCAGTAGACGATAAGCCAAACCTCTACCTTTTTTTCACCTTTGGGAACATCGTTCTAGAAACAAACCCTGGCCACATAACCAGCACATCTCTCTAGGATTAATTCATTGCTAGTGGGAGTTCATGCCAATTGGACTCATTTTTCAGGTCTTCAAGGAGACTTCAAGGTATTGAAGGTACCTGACCAGCCTGCCCTTGTAAAACTCATGACACAATGTCCATCATTTGATCTGATTGAGCAATTGGACAACATTTGCTAAATAACCCCAAGTGTGTGGATAATTATACAGCCTCCTTCTGATTGTCAGGTGCATACTGCTGTGCACTTTCCTGAACTGGAAGCAACATATATCAACACAAAAGTTCTTTCTCTTTGCAGAAAGAATGTGTACAGGCACTGCAGCTGTTTCAAGTCAAGAAAAGAGCTATTCTGTGGTTCATTTCTCAATGCAATCCCCCGACCAATCAAAGGCAACCCCGTCTGGTTTAACAAGGTTTGACAGTTAACTGTCTGTCATCATCAACTGGTGCTGGTGCATTCTCAAGAAGGCCGCTCACCACCACCTTCATCAGGGCAATTTGGGATGGCCCAGCCGGTGACACCCATGTTCCGTGAAAAATTAGAGTGCCTCAGACTTTTGAATTTAGCGATTTGCAGACAGAATGGAGCGAGAAAGAGAAACAATTTTTTCTAGTAGGGGGAAATTTAGAAATCATGGGGAGGCAATGGCCTAGTGCTATTATCGCTGGACTGTTAATATGGAGACCCAGGTAGTGTTCAGGGGGACCTGGGTTTGAATCCCACCACGACTGATGGTGGAATTTGAATCATTTTTTAAAACATTTGGAATTTAGAGTCTCATGATGCTCGTGAATGCATTGCTGATTGTTGGAAAAACCCATCTGGTTCACTAATGACCATTTAGGGAAGGAAACTGCCATCCTTACCCGGTCTGGCCTAATGTAACTCCAGACTCACAGCAATGTGGTTGACTCTTCACTGCCGTCTGGGGGGGCAGTTAGGGATGGGCAGTAAATGCTGGTCCAGCCAGCAACGCCCTGACCTAATGAATGAATAAAACAGTGTAGCCAGGTTACTCATTGTGCCCCCTGCTTGATACTTTCTGAACTGAAAAATGTGTGGCACGTCCTGTCTGCGCACCATCTCCTAGGCCCATTGTTGTTAATCACCTTGTCCCCCATCAAGCTGTGCTCTGAGAAGTGGAATGGGGACATGTTTTGTCCCTCGGTAGTTTTTGTAAATGTCGATCTAGCCTGTTTTCTGATTCTGGGGGAAAAAGAAGTACATGACACTTTCCAGAGAAATAGCTCTCAGATGCTTGGGCAATCCTTCCTTGGTGACAGGTAGCTCCCTGGGCGCTCACTACTGTCATCACATCCAGCCCACACTGGCTGGCTATCTGTCGTTCCTTACATTGTTCCAATCCTCCTCATCACCTCCGCCAGCTATTCCCTCCCTCCTTGTCACATTGGGCCTCCTGCCCAGGCCGTCACTGCCACCAGTCCGTCCCCCTCACCATCTCCTATCTATTCAGCTCACTCTGTTGAAGACCAAGGTGTATTGACTCGGTCTTGAAGTAGAGTCATAGAGTCATACAGCAGGCAAACAGCCCCTTTGGTCCAGCACATCCATGCTGATCACATTCAAACTCAACTCGTCCCACTTGCCTGCATTTGGCCTGTGTTCATCTCAACCTTTCCTATCTGTGTACCTTCTAAATGTCTTTTAAATGTTGTTAATGTACCAGCCTCCAGCAGCTCCTCTGGCAGTTCATTCCACGTACAAACCACCCTTTGCATGGAAGATGTTGCCTCTCGGGTCCCTTTTAAATCTTTCACCTTAAACCTATGCCCTGTAGTTTTGAACTTGCTTACCCTATGGAAAGACCTTGGCTATTGACCTTATCTATGCCCCTCGTGAACTTATAAACCTTTCTAAGGTCACCCCTCAACCTCCGATGCTCCATCAGAAAAATCGTTCCAGCCTATCCAACTCTCCTTATAATTCAAACCCTCCAGTCCCAGTAACATCCTTGTAAATCTTTTCTGTACCCTTTCCAATTTAATAATATCCTTCCTATAACAGGGTAACCAGAATTGTACACAGTACTCTAAAGGTGGCCTTACCAATGTCCTGTACATCCACCATGTGACGTTCCAGCTCCTATACTCAATGCTCTGACCAATAAAGGCAAGTGTACCAAATGCCTTCTTCATCACCCTGTCTACCTGCAGCTCCACTTCCCGGGAACTATGTACCTGCATCCCTAGGACTCTTTACCTGGTGCCCAACCATTAAGTGTATAAGTCCTGCCCTGGTTCGTCTTAGCAAAATGCAACACCTCACATTTATCGGAATTAAATGCCATCTGCCACTCCTCAGCCCATTGGCCCATCTGATCAAGATCCCGTTGGACTCTTGGGTAATAGAAAAAAATGCAGTTTTACTGAGGCGGTAGATTTAACGTTTATTCTTTTCTAAGTGTAATAATTCCTGCCTTGATCTTTTCCTTGACCTGTTTCCCTTTTGAAGGATCCCGGAATTCTGAGCCCTGTGCAAGACGGCAACAAGAAACCGCAAATTGATATCAACAGTAGCAACAACTACAGGGTTGTGAAAGAGGTGAGTAAACCTTGGCGGCCGTGTTACCTAGTAACTGCACAAAATCAAAGTGTACGCTGCAGGATTGTTCTCCATAATACACGGCCCATTTTGTATATGTGTCGCAAGCTGGTATTTGAGACCACCGGATCATCCTTTTGGAAGTTTCTGGAAGAAGGCCATGCATCCCTTGAATCTAACCGTCTATGTATGAGGTGCCAGGAATTAAAGTTGGTAAAATGTGGAACTGGAGAAGCGCAGCTGGTCAGACCATATCGGAGGAGCAGGAAAGTCCATGTTTCTGGTCCGGACCCTTTCTTCAGGACTCCTGCTGAAGGGTCCAGATCCGAAATGTTAACTTTCCTGCTCCTTGGATGCTCCCTGACCTGCTGTGCTTCTCCATCTCCACATTTTATCGACTCTGACTTCCAGCATCGGCAGTCCTTGCTATCTCCTAGTCACCAGGAATTAACTGCTGCATTCTGTCTGAGATACCTGAATCAAACTATAGCTTTTAGATTAACCCTAAAATGTTTATGTATGGGGACAGGAAGACAGAAGCAGTGCCATGTAGTAAATGACAGTGGGACAAATACTTCTTTGGAAACCGCGATGAATCTGTCTACAAAGAGTTAAACCAGCTTCTCCAGCACCACAGTCTCCTTAGCATCAAGTTCTATCACCTTGAGATCAGCTGTTTTACCCTGCTCTTGTTCTGTTTTTCCTGCCCTTTTCTCCCCCTGTTTTGTTCATTTGGCCTTCACGTTGGTTTCTTTATGTTTTCATGTGGCATTCTGATTTTTTTTTTATCAGGAGTGACTCCTTCCTCGTCCTTGCTCCTTTGCTGTATCTGTCACTGCTGTTTTATGACTGATGCATCATGAGATTTTTCACTTAAATCTCCCGTGGTCTCTATCATTGATTTTTTTTTTTCTCTCCATTCGTCCTTCTTGCCCTATCCAGTCAGCAACTCTGACATTTTTATCTTTCTGTCGGTTTGTTGAGAGACATTGACTGGACATATTTTGATTTAATTTGATTCACTATTGTCCTATGTACCTAGGTACAGTGAGAATTTTTTTTTTGTGTGCAGTACAGGCAGATCATACCATACAAAGTGCATTGGGGTAATAGAACATTAACTCCCTGCATGGATACTGCTTGACCTGCTGAAGTTTTTCTTTCTGTTATTATCACTCCTAATGTCTTGTATGGCCTGGTAATGTATGGCAATGACGGGCAGGATTAAAAACAAATGGTCCTTTCCGGATAATGTTCAAAGAATTGTGCTCCCAACTCCCCTTTGCACCCACATAACATCCTGGGAGAACGCAAAGAAGTTGAGAGAAATCCGGGTCTAATAAGGGAGGAAATCCTTGGAAAATTGCCGTCCAAAGATGTGCAAATTAGGAGGATTGGGGCTGTGGTGAGTCCAGGGTTACAGGGATAGAGTCAGTGCAGACTCTGTGGTCTGAACAGCCTCTTTCTGCACTTGTAGGGATTCTATGATTCTAAAGTTTCCCTCTGCTTTTCTCTGACAGTTGCCTCCCATCATGGGTGCCATCTGTTAGCTGTTAAAGCACTTACCTTCTATACTGTGCATGAGCAAGGATTAGCCCAACTCCCAATTGGACTCCAAAGTCAAAACTCTCCGTGTTTGGAGGATGTAATTGTACCAGCTGGCTTGCCGTAGTCGTGTGAGCTCTGGATATGTTGTCAGTGTCACTGCCTGTGTGTACAGTCTGTGGGAACCTTAAACCCCATTGTAACACCCGACACCAGCCATCGTCCATTCCAAACACTCTGAGTGCTCCAGAAAGACACCAACTGCTTAAAAACCAGTCTGTTCGACTCTAGTGTCAACTCATTCTGTACTAGACCATCAGTGAGGCTGATAATCCAGGCTGCTCATTGTATTATCAGTCTCTGTCAAAGCAAGTCACTGGGTTGGTAATCCCAAACTCCAAGTTATTGTCCTGGGCACTTGGGTTCGAATCCCATCATGGCAGATTATTGAATTAAAATTTCACAAAGACCTTGAATTGTAAAACTGACCTAATGGCAACCATGTTGATTATTGTAAACCCCCATCCGGTTCACTAATGTCCTTCAGGGAAGGAAACCTGCCATCCTCACCTGGTCTGGCCTACATGTGACTCCAGACCCCAATATATTTGGGGTCTTAACTGCGCTCAGCAGTGGTCCTAATAAGCCATTCAGATGAAGGGGCAATTGGGGACGGGCAGTAAATGCTGGCCCAGCGAGCGACGTCCACCTCAGTGGGCAAATTTTTACAATAAAGTCACTTGTACAAGAGTTAGGTTGGTGGGGGGGAGGTGGCGGGGGGGAATGTTGAACTTGTATAAGGCACTTGTTAGATCTCAGCTGGAGTATTGTGTATAGCTGTGGGCGCTGCTTTATTGGAAACTTGTGAAGGCATTGGAGAGTGAGCAGAGTAGTTTATGATAATGGTTCCAGGGACGAGAAACTTCGGTGATTGAGGAGGGATTGAAAAGATTGGGATTGTTCTTCCTGGAGAGAAGGCGGCTGGGAGGAGACTTGACAGATATTCAAAATCATGAGCAGGCAGGACAGGGTCGATAGGGAAAAATTGTTGCTGATTGTTGAGGAACAAGAACCACAGACTTTAAAGTGAGCTGCAAAAGAAGCAAGGGTGAAGTAGGGGAAAACCTTTTTCAATGTAGCAAGCAGTCAGGATCTGGAATGCACTGCCTGGACAAATGGAGGAGGCTGGTCCAATAGAGACATTGAAGAGGGCACTAGCTGGTTATTTGGATAGCAGTAAAGTCTGCAAGGATTTCAGAAAAAGGCAGATGATTGGCACAAGTAATGCTGATTTAACGAGTCAGTGCTGGCACGCTGGGCTAAATGGCCTGTTCTGCAGGGTAACCCTTCTGTGACTCTGTTAATTCTCAGCCTGTGTTGCCAATCTGAACAACCCAAAGCCTTTTTTTTTCCAAAAGCTGGGAGTAATCCGGTCAGGCCTTGGAATGAGGGACCTTTAGTAAACTTGCTGATGTGATGTGTGGTAGTAACCGTGACAGTCTGCGAACAGTTTGACTACCCTTTAGGCACTGACTGTCTCCTTTTCAGATCTTGATCCGGCTCAGTAAACTGTGTGTGCAGAGCATGAGGCGGGGCAGGAGTCAGCAGCAGCGTTTACTGAAGAACATGGGAGCCCACGCTGCGGTGTTAGATCTTCTGCAAATCCCATACGATAAGGTAACTGGGAGAGTTTACACTCGGCGGGTGGGGGGGGGAGAGCAAAATTACCTTGTTCTCACCGGTGCCCTTTTTTTTATGTTGTTTTATTTTTAAATGTTTGATTGTAGATGGACAACAAAATGAATGAAATCATGACCTTGGCCCATGGTTTTGTACAGAATTTCTGTGCAGGCAATCCACAGAATCAGGTCTTGCTCCATAAACATCTGAGCTTGTTTCTTACACCTGGTGTGAGTATCAGAACTTCTCATCTTTGTGTGTTACAGTGAGAGCAGTACAGACAGCTGTACTGTAATATTCCCATCACTCTGTTTTCTTATCATTGCTGTAAGGTCCCTGTTACTGTTGCACTCTCAATCTGTTTTTCATTTTACCCCATGACTGACCTATTGCCACTCGCTCCAGAAATCCAACCATTTTAAAGCTGACTGACTTCAGGTTTGAAATTTGCGTCCCAGGTAGACAGGGCGGTTAAGAAGGCATTTACCACACTTGCCTTCATTGCTCAGACCCTTTGAGTATAGGAGTTGGGACGTCATGTTGAGGTTGTACAGGACATTAATGAGGCCTCGTGTGGAGTACTGTGTCTAGTTCAGGTCGCCCTGCTGTAGGAAGGATATTATTAAATTGGAGAAGGTTCAGAAATGATTTACCAGGACGTTGCCGGGAATGGAGGGTTTGAGTTGTAAGGAGAGGCTGGATTGGCTGGGTTTTTTTTTGGCTGGAGTGTAGGAGGTTGAGGGATGACCTTTATACAGGGTTATAAAATCATGAGGGGCATAGATAAGGTGAATAGCAAAGGTCTTCTCCCTCGGGTGGGGGAGTTCAAATCTAGGGGGCATACTTTTAAGGTGAGAGGAGAAAGATTTGAAAAGGACATGAGGGGCAACTTTATTTTTTTTTACACAGAGTGGTTTGTGTATAGAATGAATGTCCAGAGGACGTGGTGGATGCAGGTACAGTTACGATGTTGAAAAGACATTTGGATAAGTGTATGAATAGGAAAGGTTTGAAGGGATATGGGCCAAGCACAGGCAGGTGGGACTAGTTTACTTTGGGATTATTGTCGGCATGGACTGGTCGGACTGAAGGGTCTGTTTCTGCGCTGCAAGACTCTGTGACTGTTACCATAGACTCCAGGTGTAGGACTGAGGGACTGCAATAGTGTCTGAAGCAGCATGTTTCTGATGTGATGTGAAACCAACATTATATTCATACAGAAGAACTCAACTTTATTAAAAAAAGACCCATGGCTCTAAAATCATCTGATCATTTATTTTGATGCTGTTTGTGGGAGCTTGCTGTGTACCAATTGGCTGTAAAGTTTCCCATGCTGGAATACTGACTACGCTATGAAAAAACTTGATTGGATGTGAACAAAAACAAAGTTGCTGGAAAAGCTCAGCAGGTCTGGCAGCATCTGTGAAGGAGAAAACAGAGTTAACATTTCAGGTCCAGTGGCCCTTACTCGGAACTGAGGAAGTGTCACCGGACCTGAAATGTTAACTCTGTTTTCTCCTTCACAGATGCTGCCAGACCTGCTGAGCTTTTCCAGCAACTTTGTTTTTGTTCCTGATTTACAGCATCCGCGGTTGCTCCAGTTTTGATTGGATGTGGAACGTGTTAGGTCATTCTGAAGATGCAAATGGTATAATATAAATGCAAGATTTTTTTTTTCTCTTTTCCCAAGTCCGCCAGCATTGTCCCTGTCCCCCTCTTGCAATCTCTGCCTGAAGCCATGAGTTTATTCTTCTTGCTACACAAAGGGAAGTTAAATCCTTTCTTTGTCCTTGCGTTAACAAGCGTGTGAACTATTCTGTATATGCACCATAAGAGCTCCTGTATCCGAGTCTGCACCTTTTCCCGGTTAGTATCGGCCACTCTCTTTCTCACAACCTGCTCGTATACACACTCAAACAGCGCGGTATTGTGCAACATTAAGGTTGATGTTTGTGCTCTGTTTTTGCAGCTGTTGGAGGCAGAAACCATGCGACACATTTTTCTGAACAACTATCACCTCTGCAACGAAATCAGCGAGAGGGTGGTCCAGCACTTTGTGCACTGCATCGAGACGCATGGTCGACATGTTCTGTATTTGAAGTTCTTGCAGACCATTGTTAAAGCAGATGGAAAGTATGTGAAGAAATGTCAAGATATGGTCATGACTGAGGTAAAGGAAACGGTCAAGATATTAGGATCAAACGTCTCGCAGTAATGAGATCTTCACAAAAGGATTTCCGTCACTGTTGGTCCCTTCCATCGCTTAAAAAAAGAGGTCACCCATTTAAGACAGAGATGGAAAAATAATTCTCCCGTTTGAGTGGCTTAGGAATTCTCTCCCTTTAAAAGGCAGAGTAGATGGTCATAGAGATCAACAGCACAGAAAGTGACTCTTCAGCCCATCGTGTCTGTGCTAGCCAAAAGCAGCCACCTAACGATTCTAAACACGTTAGATTCTCGGTTACCAAGGGGATGAAAGATTATTGCGGATATGCGGGAATGTAGAGTTAAGGTTAAAATCAGATCAGGCATAATCTTATTGGATGGCAGAAAAGCTTTGAAGGGCTGTGGCCTCCTCTTGCTCCTTGTTGATATGTTACCGAACTTCGCAATGATGAAGGAAACGCAAGCTCATGGGAATGTGCGATTTAGGGGCAGTAGTAAGCCATTCGGCCTCTCCAGCTTGTTCTGCCATTCAGTAAGATCATGGCTGATCTGGTTGAGAGCAGATCTCCGATTTCCTGTCTGTTTTTCCCCCATAACCCTTGACTCCCTTATCTATTAGAAGTCAATTTGTCTTAAGCGTTTGGCCATAATTTATTTCACGCAGCGTTTAATTTCACACAGACGCAGTGAAGCATTTTGCACACGAGCCTCAACCTTCCCAAACCCAAGTGGTTGAGATTTCAATGGCCTTCTGCCAGTCTGTCCCTTCCTTTGTATATCCACAGCCGATCCACCCACCCTGGATGGACGTGGTGTAAAGGCTGACGTTTCGGTTCAGCACGGCCCGAGTGTCACACTGTCGGCGTGCTATCGGAGATGGTGTGTTTAAGGGGAGATGGGCGCCACTTCTCGTCCGTGATGCGTTTGACCTCATTCGGGGAAAGGCAGGCAGCCCTGGCCTATATTTTCCATTTTAAAACCGAGGCTGTCCAAGAAAAGAATCGAATCAACCGAACGGTTACCCATTGTTGGATCTTGCTGTGCACAGGGAGGCTGCCAGCTGAAAGTCAGTATAGCCGATTGCTCTCGATCCTTTTGGGGGACGGGTTGGCCGTACTGTAGTGGATCTTCACAGGGCAACACCATGGATTGATCACCCACGTGACATCGTGAGAGACTCACATGGGTTAACACTTCACTAGGGGGCGCTCATGTTTAACACAATGGGGTCAGGTCCCTTTTGGCATGGAATTCTAACAGGTTTTTCTCCTGCACCATGACTGGGAGATGCTGTTTTTCCATTAGCTTTTGATAATTGTCGGCATGTCCTTGCAGCTGGCCAATGGGGGAGAGGATGTGTTGGTGTTTTACAACGATCGTGCATCGTTCCCTCACCTTCTGCAAATGATGGCGTCGGAACACGACCGGAGCGACGAAAATGGAGCCCTGAACTACCACATCACCCTGGTCGAGCTGCTCGCTGCCTGCACCGAGGGCAAGAATGTGTACACGGAAATTAAGTGCAATTCCCTGCTCCCCTTGGATGATATCGTGAGGGTGGTAACCCACGAGGATTGCATCCCTGAGGTAGGCCCACAGCCTCTATATTTCTTTCTCTTTCAGTTTCCGAGGCAGCAGCTGCGTGTTGTGCAATTGGGCGATGGCTGAGAGTTTAGTTTGCTTTTCACAGTCTTGTGAACGTGTGATTGTTTTTTTGGAGCAGGATTAGACCATTCAGGCCCCTACTTCACCAATCTCAGATCATCGCTGTGGGCTCAACCCCACTTTCCTTTCTGCTCAGTGCTGGACTCACTCGCCTAGTTAAAATCTAGCTAACTCTTCCTTGAATACGTTCAGTGACCGAGCCTGTGCTACTCTTGGGGAAGAGAATTCCACAGACGAGCAATTTCACTTTTTTTAAAAAGTAGTTCTCCCCTTGTCGGTTTTAAACGAGAGTCCTGTTACTCTTTAAGCCTGGTTCTAGTCTGCCACTTGGCGTCATACAGCATGGAAACAGACCCTTCGGTCCAACCAGTCCATGCTATCCATAATCCCAAACTAAACTAGCCCCACCCACCCATATCCCTCCAAACATTTCTTATTCATGTACTTATTCAAATATCTGTAACTATACCTGCATCCGCCACCTGCTCTGGAAGTTCATTCTACTCACCATCACTAAAAAATAATGCCCTTCATGTCTTTCTTAACATTTTCTCCTCTCTTCTTAAGAATATGCCCCCAGTCTTAAAATTCCCCACCCTAGGGAAAAGACACCTGACATTCACCTTATCTATACCCCTCCTGATCTTACAAATATCTGTAAGGTCACCCCTCGACCTCCTACCCTCCAGTGAAAAATGTCCCAGCCTATCCATCCTCTCCTTTATATCTCAAACCCTCCATTCCCACCAACATCCTGGTAAATCTTTTCCGCACCAACTCCAGCTTCATAACATCCTTCTTATAACAGGATGACCAGAACTGGACACAGTACTCCAAAAGAGGCCTCACCAACTCCCAATACAACCTCAACATGATGTCCTAATTCCTATACTCAAAGATCTGAGCAATGAAGGCAAGCATGCCAAATACATCCTGCTCCTCTAATGCTGCTTGGCCTGCTGTGTTCATCCAACTCTACACCTTGTTATCTCAGATTCTCCAGCATCTGCAGTTCCTGCTATCTCTGAAACATTCTTAACCACCTTTGTTTACCTGTGAGAGGAGTATCGTCCCAGTATCCACTCTGTGCTGTCCCTTCTGGATCTCTTATGTTTCAGTAAGATCACTTCCCATTCTTCTAAGCTTCGATGCCTCAGCCTCTCCAAACTTTCCTTGCAGGATAACCCACCAATCCCTGGAAGTTTGGTTAATTTTTGCAGAGGATTTGCAAAAAAAAGTGGATTATGCGAAGCAAGTTCATTTTCTCACCAGTGTCTAATGTCCATCCAACTCTTGGGTATCTACAGTTTTGGTCTCCATATTATAGAAAGGATAGAGAGGCGCTAGGAAAGGTACAAAAAGCATTGAACAGAATGGTTCAAGAACTGCGAGATTAAGGGCATGAGGACTGATTGAACAGACTGAGAGAAGGCTGAGGAGTGATATTGAGGTCTTGAAACCCATAAACACTAACAGGACTAGACAGGGTGAATGCAGGAAGGATGTTCCCAATGACCAGAACTCGTTTAAGGATATGGAGTAGGCCATTTAGGACTGAGATGAGGAGAGATTTCTTCACCCAGAGAGTGGAGAACCTGTGGAATTCTCTGCCACAGAATGTTTTCAGTAAGGTGTTCAATATAGTTCTTGGGGCTAAAGGGATCAAAGAATATCGGAAGAAAGGAACATGGGACTGAGTTGGATGGTCAGCCATGATCATATTGCACGGTGGAGCAGGCTCGAAGGGTAAGAGAAAGGTGAGATTATGTGGAACGCAGCCTCTCGAGGATTTGCCAGGGTGAATAATATCAATGCATTTGATGTGCCCAATTAGATGGATATTTGAGGAAGGAAGGTGTAGAAGGATATGCTGGTTGTGTTTAAGTTGTGGAGGGGGTGTTGTGTGTGAGGATAAGTACTAGTATATACCTGATGATGGTTTGTAGCTGGAAGTTCTCACCAAACAGTTCAAAGCTTTCTGTTAGCAACTTTTGCATTGTGTGCCTATAAAATAGGGCATCTGCACAATTCTAATCATTGGAATCCTGAGTTATTCTGCATTTCATTTGCAATAAAACTGAGCTAACCACACTCTGAATCAAGAGGACAAATGCCCACGTGACCCCCACTATGTCTTCTCCCCCCTTTTTTTTTTCCCCCCCCACCACAACATCCATTCCCCCCACATAGTCCCTCTCTCTCCCCATCCCCAATGCACTCCCTCCTATTATGTCCTTAGCCCATTACCTCCTTCCCTTCTACAACCCCCCCCATTATCCCCCCCTGCCCCCCCCCCCCACTGTGCCCTCTCCCCACACCCCCACTACACCCTTGGCCCATCTACACCCCCCTCCCACACCGCACTGTTCCATTCTCCCACTCTGTGTTGCCTGTGAGGGTCCTCCGAGAGGCTGTAGTCAGTGGTCCCTGGGCCCCAGGGTAAATAGGGCCTCTGTCTGCCCCCCACCCCCCGCATGCCACACCTAAATGACGTGAATGAGAATTGAGAGCAAGTTTGGAGCATTTTGAGTGTGTCACCACTTTGTGCCACCTGCAGCGTACTTACTGAGGGACCAGAGGCATTTTGGGGACCTGATGTTAGGCAGCAGTATTGCCTTGCTCCTGTTTCTTTTCCTCAGTGTGCATCAGGTTACTTTTCCCGACTATTCTCTGCCTACTAGCAAACTGGTGCCTGCCACTGTGCTCGCCGTTGGTGACTCTCCTGCTCCTGCAGGTGTTTTCCTATCGCCTTTGATATTCTGCTTCATTCCCCACGACCAGCAGTGGAAGCATGTCACTTTATTGCAATTCTCTTAAGGTCCCTGCTTGCTCACCCTCCTGTTTCCGTTGTCCTCTTCCACCTATCACACCCTTCTCAAAGTCTATGCAAACCCCTCTTTCCCCACTCCGACCCCCACTCCACCCCTCCAGTTATCTTCCTTTAGGGTCTTCGCGGGTGAAGAATGAAGAATTGAAAGAGGCAGAGAAAGGAACCTAGAGAAAATTAACTGTGGCGTCAAAAATGTCTTTCATTTTTCTTTAGCAAGCTCTCGTTGTGTGGTGAACATGAGGGTAAAATGAGCATTTCTTGATATTGCAGGTGAAAAGAGCCTACGTTAATTTTGTGAATCATTGTTACGTGGATACAGAGGTGGAGATGAAAGAGATTTACACCAGCAACCACATTTGGAAACTCTTTGAGAATTTTGTGGTCGATATGGTTCGGGTAAGTCTTGCAAGGGAATCTCCTCCAAGATTCAAGCAGACATCCAGAATAAACTGGAGGTGAAATTTCCCATTTAAACATGGAGCACATAATTCTGACTACCTTAGATGTGTTACAAAGCATGGAATAAAGACACAAAGTGCTGGGGAAAGTCTGTCAGTGTTGTTATGGAGCAGACCAAACCCCTTCAAAATATATGAAGAAGACAGTCTAGACCATAACTTTTTCTTATTTTAAAGGTAAGTGTAAGGGATTGTGTTCTGGATGCAATTTGATTGGTCAACTAGGTTTGAAACAAAACATGCTTTATTCAGACTCTATACTTAAAATACAGACAAAATAAAACTAAAAGAAAAGAATTAGCTTAACTGTGACTCTATCAAAATGCTTAACAAAATAATATACATTAACTACTACTAATTAACTGTTCTAATACAGTTACATGTCATAAACACATCCTTGGCAAAGGCAAATTCAGTGAACAGATTGTCTCACATACAATTCTAGCAGCAGGAAGAGAAACCCCAGCTTTTAGCTGTAACAGACAGAAGAATAAAATCTTCCACATCCAGCTTCCAAAGCCCAGCTACTGCTACTGAAAAACTAAAACTAAAAATCCTGGTTCTGTGGAGCTTGACCACACCCATTCAGGCTGCTTCTATTGTTCCAACTTCTGGAAAACCTCACAGGCTGTTTACTTTATTGGCTTTGAAGCAGACCACTCAGCACCTCTCTCTCTTTGTTTTAAACGAAACAGGGCAAAATACTCCTCTTAAAGTCATAGTATCATCACTGCATCTGTGGAGAGATGGAAACAAAGGTATACTTCAAGTCCAACATGAGTCAACTTCAGAAGAAGCCGAGTCATACTGGACTTGAAATAATTCAACTTTTCAGAAGAAGCCAAGTCATATTAATCTTTTGCAAAGAAGAGTCAAATTCAGTTCAAACCATCACCTCTGTTTCTCTCACCATAGACACTTATAGATCTGCTGAAAGTTTCCAACATTTTCTGTTTTAATTCAGACCTTCAGCATATGCAGTATTTTGTTTTTTTTTATTATTCAGTGTTTGAAAAAGGCTGTTGGTCTGTGAGAATCTTTGTTGGCACTGCGAGAGTAAATCTACACAGCCTTTTGTGAAATCTTACCCCAAATAAATAGCGACTGAATTGTAAATCTTTGAAAACACAGTTATCAAAGTTATAGTGTTTTATTATTCGAAATCTGCAAACCAACACTAAAATAAGGGAGAGCTTTTAACCGGGTGTAAGAATTCTGTGTTATTAAAAATTCTGCTTTTGAAATGGCTGCTGAAATGATGGGGGTGAAATTGGTTCGTAGGTAGGGGTGCCAAAGAAAACCGTACACCCCAGCAGATGTTCCTTCTCGTTACTCTGATGTAAGGTAGAGGTTGTGGGTTCGAACCCCACACCCGAGAGTTGAGAGTAATGGTTAAGTTGTTCCTCCTGTGCAGTGCTGAGGGGGTGCTGAGATGTCACTGGAGCTGCCTTTTAGGTGTAAGGTTAAACTGAGGCCTTGTTGGTCAATATAAACGATCCAATGACAGTGTTTTGTGGAAGGACAGGCTCCCAAGTCTCTCGGCCAATTTTTATCTCTCAATGAACATTACTATTACACAGATTGTGCCAGTAAATGCTGGGTGCGAAATGGCTGCTGTATTTCCCATGTTCCAGCACGAGCTAGACTCCAAAACTTACCTTTTTCATATAATGGAATCGAAAATAGTATGTGGTATAAGACGATTGGCCGGTCTCAGCTCCCCCCGCCCTTCTATTGGACATTGGCATTTGTCATCACCGCTTCATGAATCAAGAGAGTGACATTATTGACAAACCTGACCAGTTCAGTTGAAGTTTGAATCCACTCTATTTTGGTTTTCCCTGTCATTTATTGAACTCACTCCATTGTGTTTTGGCTGATGTCTTTTGAAATCACTTGCCTCCTTGATTTGAGTATAACTGTTGTGAGCTGGCTGTTTTGTTGAAGGTTTGCAACACCACAACAGACAGGAAACACGCCGATACTGCGTTGGAGAGATATGTGACAGATACAGTCATGAGTATCATCAGTGGCTTCTTCAGTTCTCCATTCTCTGATAACAGCACGAGTCTACAAGTAAGTTAGCTTTGGGACAATCTGTCTGCTGAATTATATAACTTGCTGAATTATGTATTTGTAGAGTCATACAGCACAGAAACAGACCCTTCGGTCCAATTGGTCCATGCCAAACATAATCCCAAACTAAATTGGTTCCACCTGCCTGCGCTTGGCCCATATCCCTCCAAACATTTCCTATTCATGTACTTATCCAAATGTCTTTTAAATGTTGTAACTATGCCTGCATCCACCACTTCCTCAGGAAGTTCATTCCACACACAAACCCACTCTGCTTTTAAAAAAAAAAAAAAAAAAATTGCCCCTTGTCTTTTTTAAATTTTCTCCTCTCACCTCACTTTAAAAATATGCCCCCTAGTCTTGAAATCCCCCACCTTGGGGAAAAGACACCTGCCATTCACCTTATTTATACCCCTCATGATTTTATTAACCTCTATAATGTCATCCCTCAACCTCCTATGCTCCAGGGAAGAAAGTCCCAGCCTTTCCAGTCCATTTTTATAACTCAAACCTTCCATTCCTGGCAACATTTTGGTAAATCTCTTCTGAACCCTCTCCAGCTTAATAATATCCTTCCTATAACAGGGCGACCAAAACTGGACACAGTACTCCAGTAGAGTCCTCACCAATGTCCTTTCAACCTCAACAAAATGTCCCAACTCCTATACTCAAAGGTCTGAGCAATGAAGGCAAGCGTACTAAACACCTTCTTAACCTGTGGTTAAGAATTAATTAATTAAGAATGAACCATTCCACAGTGCATGGGGCTGTCCAAAGATCATCTAATATCCAGTGAGAATCTTTACATTTCTGAAGTTTCCTTTTCCTTGATGCCTAGATGATGATTTAAGGGTTTATCTTCGCAATTGCAGGGTGAATAGTTATTTCCAAATAAATAGTGGGAAGTTTAACTTTAGACAATGTTTGCATGTGCAAGTGTGCTGTATTCATTTTTACCATATGATCATGTGTGGCCAGGCCAATTATCCTGACCCTAACCTGTCTTTAAATCACAGGGCTCACTAGGCCACTGTAATTAGCAGTGAAGAGTTACCCATATTGGGGTGGAACTGAGTCACCTAGCAGCCAGACTAGGTCATAACAGTAGATTCCCTTCCCCAAAACATTGATTTGAGTCACTTGGGTTCTTCGTACAATCTGGCAGTTTTGCAATCGCTGTCACCTTGAGAAAGTTGATTGTTTCCAAATTTTTAACAGAATTGAAATTCACAAAACTGACAGGGCAGGATTTGAACTTGCCTCCTCCAGGTATTAGTGCAGTAGTTGCAGAAAGAGCACATGGACTGCAGTGGTTCAAGAAGGCAGTTCATCAGCACCTCTAAGGATGAGCACCCACATCCCATGAGCAACTGATGAATAAAGTGTTGTCTTCCCTCCTTTTCTTGATACATATTGACCTAGGACACAATTTCACCAAAGTGGGAAGCATTGTGAATGGTCAGGGGGTTAGCGTAGAACTTCAAAAGACCATAGACAGGAAGATATGTGGCAGATAAAGTTGAAATCTGAGCAGCATGAAGTGATTCATTTGGTTAGGAAGAACACAGAAAATACAAAATCGAGTATAATTGTAAGGGTGGCAATGGTGGCTCAGTGGTTAGCACTGCTGCCTCACAGTCCTAGGGACCCAGGTTCAATTCCAGCCTTGGGCGACTATCTGTCCTTGTGGAGTTTGCACATTCTCCCCGTGTCTGCCTGAATTTCCTCTGGGTGCTCTGGTTTCCTCCCACAGTCCAAAGCTATGCAGGTTAGGTGGATTGGCTATGGGAAATTGTCTGTAGTCCCTGGCGAAGCGCAGGCTAAGTGGGTTAGCCATCGGGAATGTAGAGTCACAGGGATAGGTTAGGTGAGTGGGTCTGGGTGGGAGGGTTGGTGTTGTCTCGATGGGCTGAGTGGCCTGGTTCCAAGCTGTAGGGATTCTAAAGGAGTGGAGAGAGCTGGGGGTGTATATGCTTGAATCACTGAAGGCAGCAGGGCAGGTTTAAGAGTGTGCTTAATAAGCCAGACAGTATCCTGGGTGTTATCAGCTGGCGTACTGAATACAAAAGCAAGGAAGTTATGGCAGATCTTTATATAATATTGAGTTGGCCTTGAGTTATGTCTAGTTCTGGATACTGCACTTTAGGAAGGATGTGAGGGCAATAAAGGACCCAGGAAAGATTCATCAAAATGGGTCTAGGGATGAGGACCTCCAGCTAAGTGGATAAATGGGGAAAGCTGGGAGTATCCTCCTTTAATAAAGAACAAAGGATGAGAGGAGATTTGATTGAAATATTGAAAACCACAAAGAGTTTGAACAGAGAAGTAGGGGTGGGGGGCGGAACTGCTGAGAGGCAGATGACAACAATCAGGTGAGGACTGGCAAAACAGAGACCAACGTTTTTACGAACGAGTGGTTAGGATCGGGATTATACTGCCCAAGAGTGCAGTGGAACCAGACTCCTATGGGGCTTTCAAAAGGGAATTGGAAAGAAATTGCAGCAACTAGGGGAAATGGGATTAGGTACACTCTCTTTTACAATGGGTCGAACAGCCTCTTTCTGAACTGTAACCATTCTGTGACTACTGCACTAAAATGAAGAAGGGGCAAGTTCAAATCGTCTCTCCTTTCAGTTTTTGTCAATTTCAATTTGATCAAAAATCTGGAAATGATGAACTTTCTCAATGTGAAAGTGGTTGTAAAACTGCCAAATTGTATGAAGAACCCAACTCAACCCAACTGGCTAACTTGGTACTTTGGGGCAGGAGATCTGCTGTCATTACTTTGTGTGTTGTTGGTAGACCCACAATGTGGTTAGGGAAGGAGTTCCAGGATGTTGACCCAATTTTGCCTGGATTATCATTTCAAGAAGCTTCCCCATGGCAGAAATTTAAATTGATGGGCCTGTACTTGTTGAGCTTAGCCTTTGATCCTTTTCTAAACCAGTGTAACATTTACAATCCAATCCTCTGGTCCCATTCCTGCATCTGAGGACTTGGATTTCCACTCTACTCCCCTCAGCATCTGACTCCAGTTCTCATCTGTAAACACAGCAAGACTTTGTAATGCCTTTATTTTAATGAATTGTTAACTCATTCAGTATCTCACCTATCTCCTCTTTCATGATGACTTTTTGGGCGACATCAACTTTCTTGCTAAAGACAAAAGTCCCCCTTTAACTATCCAACTGACCCCATTTCTCCTAGGACCATTCCTCTATTATGACCATTGTTATAATGTTGCCCTTGCGTGAGTGTTTGCTTGTTTCAGGTGTGAGTAAAATCAAATTGCTAAAGCCCGTCAGGTAGTCTATTCACATCAATGTTGTGACCACTCCCAATTCTGGTACAATGGGCTGAATGGCCACCAATTCTCTCTCCAATTCCAGGCTACCGAGCTAATGGTTACCCTCTTTGAAAGTGCATCAGTTTGGCTGATTCATTTACAAATGGCATTTTATCCGTGCATGTGAAATGGGGCAGGTGATTGGACCCAGAGACTGTGTCCGGCCACTGTTTTGAAATTCTTGGTTAAACCAATTCAGTCTCGTGGCTGAAGGTATCAAAATCTGTGAGCTGTTGAATCCGAAGGCTGTGGGAAAAGGTTTTGCTATTTGAAGATTTATATCCATCTATCATCTCAGTATAACTTGGTACTTTAAAAAATACTTCAATGGCGTCAGCCATCCTGCTGTTAATGTCAAGCCCCTGTCACCAGAACTGCCTGATCTGTATTTGAGTGGGCGAATTGGATCCTTTTTGCTCAAAGCTCGGCATTGTTGATCAGCAGAGATTCCAAATGCGGTCTTTCAAACCATTAAAAGGGTCAGGACAAGATCCGAGCCACAGTGAAACCGAGAGCACAATTTAGTTCCTGTTCACAATCGTACTTCACACCGTCCTCAGCTTGCGCTCTGTCTATAGTCACGGGCTGCACACAAACTGTTTCACTGGGGGGAGTACATCTGGTATTATTCAGAGAAAGAAATGGTGGCATATAATGGTCTCTCACATTTCCTCATTTCTTGCAGACACACCAGCCAATATTTATTCAACTGCTGCAGTCTGCCTTTCGAATTTACAACTGCACTTGGCCGACTCCATCGCAGAAGTCTTCAGTGGAGTCTTGTATTAAGACCTTGGCTGAAGTTGGTAAGTTTGCATCTTGCGAAATATTGCTTGTTTGTTTTCGCAATCTGTCGGATTTGACAGGGAGTTCCTTTCAGGTGCAGGTTTTGGAATGGATCCACTGGGGGCGGCTCTGGGAGAGGGGTGTGCATGCTTGGTACATAAGAACACTTGATCATTCTCTCGCAGAACGGAGTAAGGTCCAGCCGGCTGATGTAATGGATGAAAGTTTTCTCTGTCTGATGCTTTCCTGGAGAGGACCAGCAGAGTATTTCAGCCGAGTTCTTGATGGGCGTGGAGCCAGAATACATAATAGTCCCTCAAACGTGCACTAAACTATAACTCCTGCATGGGGAGAACAGGGCAGTGGTTGGTTTAGGAAATTCAACAGTCACTGTTACTATTAAAATGCAATGTGGGATGTTGGGTGGTCAGGTGCATATTGTCAAGACAAAGTGGTTGGTATCTTGTCACATGTCCAACTATACCAGGAGGGTGCCATCTTCAGTGATGACAAACTTTACCCATTCCACATTGCTCTTATCCCTCTCATTTAACCCTTGGATTTCTTTGTCTGGATGTACTGAGTCATTCAGCACAGAAACAGACCTTTGGTCCCACCAGTCTGTGCCGACCATAATCTAAAACTAAACTAGTCCCGCCTGCCTGCACTTGGCCCCTATCCCTCCAGACATTTCCTCTTCATGTACTTATCCAAATGTCTTTTAAATATTGTAACTGTACCTGCATCTACTGCTTCCTCTGAAAATTCTTTTCACAAACTACTCTCTCTTTTCTTAAAAAAAAAAATTACCCCTTGTGTCTTTTTTAAATCTTTCTCCTCTCGCATTAAAAATATGTCGCTCGTCTGGAAACCCCCCACCCTAGGGAAAAGACACTGCCATTTACCTTATCTATATCGCTCATGATTTTATAAACCTCTAAGGTCACCCCTCAACCTCCTAGACTCCAGTGGAAAAATGTTCCAGCCTCTCCTTATAACTCAAACCCTCCATTCCTGGCAACATCCTGGTAAATCTCTTCTGAACCCTCTCCAGTTTAATAATATCCTTCCTATAACAGGCTGACCTGAATTCGACACAGTATTCCAGAAGAGGCCTCACCAATGTCCTGTGTAACCTCAGCACAACGTCCTACTCAATGGTCTGAGCATTGAAGGCAAGTGTGCTAAATGCCTCCTTAAACACCCTTCTACATGTCACTCAAACTTCAAAGAATTATGTGCCTGAATTCCTACGTATCTCTATTCTACAACACTACCTTAGGCCCTACTTTTAATTGTATAAGTCTTGCCCTTATTTGTTTATTATAAATGCAACACCTGCATTTATTCAAGTTAAACTCCATCTGCCACTCCTCAACCCATTAACCCATTTGATCAAGATCTCTTTGTAACCTTTCTTCACTGTCCACTTGCCAAAAATATTTATCGTTAAACATTAGGGAGCAAGAACACGCCTTTCTTTTAACGTCTTTCACAACGGCGAAATGATCTTCAGAGCTTCCCAAACTGTGGGTCACGATGCCCTGTGGAGTCACGAGGTGTGATAGTGAGGGTGTGAGTTCGGAGGCAGCAATAGCTGCTGTGGAGCACTGACTTAACAACTACAGGACCCATCGAGTCCCTGCAGTGTGGAAACGGGCCATTCGGCCCAACAATGCATCTTTTGGCCCCACTGCATTTCCGAGGAGTATCCCACCCAGACCCATTCCTCTAGCCCTGCATTTCCCATGTCTAACCCAAAGCAGTAATCTGTGGGCAATTTAGCATGGCCAATCCACCCTAACCTGCAATTTTTGGATTGTGGGAGGAAACCCATGCAGACACAGGGAGAATGTGCAAACTCCACACAGATAGGTACCCAAGGGTGGAATTGAACCCAGGTCCCTGGCGCTATGAGGCAGCAGTGCTAATCACTGAGCCACCATGCTGCCCCTATAAACCTTCCCTTTCTTTTGCAATAGTGTCTGGCCTGGCAGGTCAAATTTTGAGGTCTACTTCCTGCTTTAAAAAAACATTCATTGAAAAGGGAGATTCTCTACCTCCTCCGCCCGCCCACCCACCCCCCAGTGCTCCTCAACGAGGGGGTCATGGCATAATTCCAAACCAATAACTGGGATCAGAGCAGGGAAGAGTTCGGGAATACTCAAATGATGTATTTTGATATGGTTTAAAAAAAATGAAAGGACTGTTAATGCTGGAAATCAGAAAGAAAAAAAGAAATTACTGGAAAAACTCAGCAGGTCTGGCAGCGTCGGCGGAGAGAAATCAGAGTTAACGTTTCGGGTCCAGTGACCCTTCCTCAGAAATGTTAACTCTGCTTTCTCTCCACAGATGCTGCCAGACCTGTTGAGTTTTTCCAGCAATTTTTGTACTTTGATACGGTCACTGTCACTGTTCAGGGAAACGCGGCAGTTAACGTCTGCACAGCAAGCTCCCACGGACATTATCCGATGAAGGAAATGATCAGGTAATCTGCTGTTGATTTGAGCAGAAAATATCGGTCAGGACTCCAGAGAAACTCCCCTGCTCTTTTCAAGATCTGCTTCTGCTATCTCGACCAAAGGGTTGTACAGCGCTCTCTCAAGGATGCATAGGAGAGTCAGCCTCGAGATTATAATTGTCCAGTGTCTAGAATGGGGATCGAACCCACAATGAGGTAAGTGCTCTCCCATTGAGTTCTAAATCGAAAGTGATCCCTTTGGTTTTTCCTTGCAGCTAAGAGCCGAGCGATAGCGATCCCTGTCGACTTGGACAGCCAAGTGAACACCCTGTTTTGGAAGACCCACTCCAACATGGTACAGAAGGCCGCGATTGGTTGGCGAATGTCTGCTCGCAGTGCGCCACGCTACAAAGACCCAATCGGTGGATCGACCTTCGACTACAGGAATATTATAGAGAAGTTACAGGTAAAGGCTGGGTGTGTGAGGAGCTGAAAGGGTTAATGTGTCTTAAAAACACCACCACCCACCCCATCTCACCAACAATGACTGTTACATGGAGTTGGTAGAAGTACAGTTTAGGATCTCAAAGGAGTAAGACCGACCATTCAAATCCCTCCTCATAGTCCCTGTTCACAATGTCTGCCATATTCAGGTAATGTGTATATAATTACTAGGCCCAGTGGTATTATTTGCTGGACTGTTGATCAAGAGACCCAGATAACATTCTGGGGACCCGGGTTCAAATCCTGCCTTGGCAAATGGCGGAATTTGAATTCAACAAAGTATCTGGAATTAATGTGTGATGATGACTGTGAAACCATTGTCGATTGTTGTAAAAACCCACCTGGTTCACTAATGTCCTTGATGGAAGGAAATTGCCATCCTTACCTTGTCTGGCCTATGTGTGACTCCAGACCCACAGCAATGTGGTTGACTCTTAACTGGCGTCTGGGCATTTAGGAATGGGCAATAAATGCCGGCCTGGCAGTAACGCTCTCATCCCATGAATGAATAAAGGGAAAAAAAAAACTGTCAAGCAATAGCCTGCGTCTAGTTTAAGATGAGGAGAGTCTTCTCATTAGATCGCCAAATGTTCTTCCTCTACTGGACTGGATAAGCAGGCCTTGACAGGTACGAACCAGGGAAGGGAGGGGTTGGGAGTAAGTCTAACTCCTACAACACGAGGACGCTTCACCTTAGAACAAAATCCATCTGTCTGAACTGAGAAGATTTAGAGATTAGGCATGGATACATTCAAATGAGAATTGGATTTTTAAGAAAATTCATTTTCAGATGAGGACATGAATGACTGGGCCCAACACTTATTGCCTTTATCCCTCGCTGTACCTTTGAGGAGGTGGTGGTGAGCTGCCTTCTTGAACTGCTGCAGTCCATGTGCTGTGGGTTGACCCACAATGCTATTAGGAAGGGAATTCCAGTTTTTTTGACCCAGCGACAGTGAAGGAACGGCGATATATTTCCATGTCAGGATGGTGAGTGGCTTGGAGGGGAACTTGGTGGTGTTCCCATGTATCTACAGGGGGGTTCTGCTATAACGTGTGTTCCAGCAACGCAAATTGGCTTGTAACACGACTGACAAATAGGGGAACGCAATTTCTAAAAGCCAACTTGTGTTGGCTACAACACAATTCCATCGGTTCCAACCTCTCTCCTTCAGCCCCATGGACCAGGGTGCAATAGCAGCTTTTAAAGCTTATTATTTAAGGTGCACATTAAAGAAGCTGATTGCCGCCACCGAGGGGGATCAGGACAGTGTTCTTCAATTTTGGAAGAGGTTTAACATCAAGGATGCAGTTGACATTATTGCAGAGACCTGGGGTGATGTCAGTAAGGACTGCTTGCATGCAGTTTGGTGGAAGCTTCTGCCAGATTTTTTCAAGATTTTGGAGGCTTTGATCCCTAAGAGGAGCTCCCAAGAATCAAAGAACGTTCTGTTGATTTTGCAAAGCAAGTTGGATTTAAAGAAGTGGAGAGTGAGGATTTTGAATAGCTGCTTGAGTCCCACTGTGAAGGCCTCTCTACAGATGATCTATAACAACTTGTCACTGAGGGGGAAGTGGAAGCTGGAGATGAAGAAGAACAAGTCTAGGATGCAGCATCAGGAGAACTTTCCACTTCTGTTTTGTCTTCTATCCTGAGGGAAATTGAGAAGCAGTTGCAGCTCTTGGAGGACGATGATTACAATGCAGAATGCAATAGGACAATAGTTTGTGGAATAAGATTTTAATTGGCTCCCCATGAACTGCTTCATGAAAGAAGAAAAAGGGCAAAGCAGCAAAAACTGGATGTCTTTTTTTTAAGCTAAACCCTGAGAAACAGTCAAAAGACAATGATCCATAGCCATCCACTATTTTTCGCCCAAACCCTGCAAACACAACTGCACCTGAAGGTGATGATGACAACGACCCTCAGCCCCTGCATTAACAACAGAGCAATCTCAAAACCTCCTCCCCCATCAAGTCGTCTTGACATGTTTTCAAGGTAAGGTGTTAAATTTACTTTTACTTTTATTTCATTATTAGATATGAAATAAACATTTATTCAAACCGTGTTATCCTTTTTGTGTTAAGCTTTTGCGTGATTTTTTTTGAGCAACTTTTGAATGATTGATATTTTTTTTCGGTGGTCTGCCCCTAACCCCACTTTTTCCATAGGCCCCATTATTTCTATAGCGCAGTTTTCTATAACAAGATGTTGCACAGGAACGCAACTATCACGTTATAGCAGAACCGGCTGGACTGCCGTTGTGCCTCATGGTGATAGAGGAGACTTGGTCAAAAACTGTCAACAGATGCTTGGCTAATTGCTGAACCACTTTGTGTGGTCAGTTTTCGAAATCAGGCCAAAAATATTTGCAGGGCTATGGGGAAAGAGCAGGGCAGGAAGACTAATTCGATAGCTGTTTCGAAGGTCAAGTATAGGCACGGTAGGCTGAATGACCACTTCCATGCTGTGTGATTCTAAGGGTTATATTTGAAGCATTGTAACAGAAATGTATGCCTTTGATCAGTAATATGCTCACTTTTGACACAAGCCATCACTATTCTGCCTTGTATAATTGATAAAGAAGCTTAAACAGGTTTCACTATTCTATTTAACAACTAGCTTCGTTCTTCAATTGACCATGAGCACTGTCATGATCCACTGAAATAGCACACTGATTGATTAAGATTGCTCAGTCGCCTGATGTTTTGCTGCACCTGTTTTCAGGATATAGTGTCCACCCTTGAGCAACAGTTCCAGCCCATGGTGCAAGCTGAGTTTTCGTTGCTGGTTGATGTCCTGCATCGTCCAGAGCTGCTTTTCCCAGATGGAAGTGACGCTCAACTGGGATGTGAAAGTGGAGACTTCATGAGCAAGTAAGTCATGGGCCATGAGGCGGTGTACGTGGAGGTTGCGCGGGGATGAATGGTGAAATATCGGCCTGAGTAAATATCCACTTGTGTAGAAATAAGTTACAGCACAATTGTAGTCACACAGCACGGAAGCAGACCCTCGGGTCCGTGCCGACCAAGTTTCCTAAACTAAACTAGTCCCGTTTGCCTGCATTTGGCCCATATCCCTCTAAACCTTTTCTTTATCCATGTACCTTTTAAATGTTGTAATTGTTCCACTTCGTCTGGCAGCTCATTCCACACATAAACCACCCTTCTGTGTTTAAAAAGTTGCCCCTTGGGTCCCTTTATAAATCTTTCACCTCTCACCTCTCACCTTAAACCTGTGCCCTCTCCGTGACTCCCTTGTCCGCTCCACACTCCCCTCCAGCTCCACCACACCCGGCACTCTTCCCTGCAACCGCAGGAAGTGCTACACCTGCCCCCATACCTCCTCCCGCACCCCCATCCCAGGCCCCAAGAAGACTTTCCACATCAAGCAGATGTTCACCTGCACATCTGCCAATGTGGTATACTGCATCCGCTGTACCCGGTGTGGCTTCCTCTACATCGGGGAAACCAAGCGGAGGCTCGGGGACCGCTTTGCAGAACACCTACGCTCGGTTCGCAATAAACAACTGCACCTCCCAGTCGCGAACCATTTCAACTCCCCCTCCCATTCCTCAGACGACATGTCCATCCTGGGCCTCCTGCAGTGCCACAACGATGCCACCCGAAGGTTGCAGGAACAGCAACTCATATTCCGCTTGGGAACCCTGCAGCCCAATGGTATCAATGTGGATTTCACAAGTTTCAAAATCTCCCCTCCCCCTACCGCACCCCAAAACCAGTCCAGCTCGTCCCTGCCTCCCTAACCTGTTCTTCCTCCCACCTATCCCCTCCTCCCACCTCAAGCCGCACCTCCATCTCCTACCGACCAACCTCATCCCGGCCCCTTGACCTGTCCGTCCTCCCTGGACTGACCTATCCCCTTCCTAACTCCCTACCTACACTCACCTTTACTGGCTCCATCCCCGCCTCTTCGACCTGTTTGTTTCCTCTCCACCTATCCTCTCCTCTATCCCTCTTCTATCCGCCTCCCACTCTCTCCCTATTTATTTCAAAACCCCCTTCCCCTCCCCCTTTTCTGATGAAGGGTCTAGGCCCGAAACGTCAGCCTCTCTGCTCCTATGATGCTGCTTGGCCTGCTGTGTTCATCCAGCCCTGCACCTTGTTGTCTCGGATTCTCCAGCATCTGCAGTTCCTACTGTCTCTGATACAATTATCTTGAGTGCTTTGTCTAATAACATTGACAACTTGGGAATTAAGCCAAGACTCATCTCTCAGTTATCATATTGGGTGGATCATATTGGATTAGCACTGAGGCAACTGTGAGCTGAAGGAGTGTTCCATTTCGGTGGGATTTAATACTGATACTGGAGGGCAGCTGATCTTTGAGGTGAACGAGCTTTTCTCTGTCCATTCAGTCATGTGTGAAAGTGTCTCGGCCTGTCCCCACATGTTACCAAAACAAAACTGGTCTTGGTCTAGGCCTGGTCTGCTTCCCACAGTGTTGAAGAAGAGATGCTGAATGCATTGACCAGTCCCCATACCTTGACTTGAAAAGGCTGCCATTGAGAAGGAGTCCTGCACTGGATCAGTTCAACCTTCCACAGACTACGACAGGGAATGTTTGACAGCAAAGCCATTGGGTCACAAAAATCCTCGTGTGCAGAGTTGTTGTTCCCCAGCTGTTGTACTGCAATAAGCTCTGTAATTGCATTTCCAAACCTCTCCACTTCCGTCTCCTCTCTTCTCAAACACAACTGGGGCTATGCAAGAACAACATTGAACAGCACTAGATAAATTCCACCAGCAATGCTTCCAGATTCAGTGGAAAGACCATTGAGCAAGCACTAGTGTATTTCTTAAAGCCCACTCATATTAACATTGTTGTGCAAAGTTGACTCCACTTCAGTACTACTTGGCTTTAGCTTAGTGCAGAGTCATAGAGTTGTACAACATGGAAACAGACCCTTTGGTCCCACCAGTCCATGTCAACCATAATCCCAAACTAAACTAGTCCCACCTGCCTGAGCTTGGCCCTTATCCCTCCGAACATTTCTTATTCATGCAGTTATCCAAACGTCTTTGAAATATTGTAACAGTACCTGCATCCATCACTTCCTCTGGAAGTTCATTCTACATGTGAACCACTCTGTTTAAAAAAAAAATAAAATTGCCCTCCTGTCTTTTTTAAATCTTTCTCCTCTCACCTTAAAAATATGCCCCCTAGTCTTGACATCCCCCACCCTAGGGAAAAGACACCTACCATTCACCTTATCTATACCCCTCATGATTTTATAAACCGCTATAAGGTTACCCCTCAACCTTCTACGCTCCAGGGGGGAAAATCCCAACCTATCCGGCCTCTCCTTATAATGCAAATCCTCCATTCCTGGCAACATCCTGGTAAATCTTTTCAGCACCCTCTCTAATGATTGGCCATGATCTAATCGAAAGACAGAGCAGACTCAAGGATGTTTTCATGTGGAGGCATTGCCTTTGATTATTCATCTTTAGATAACTTCACCTGTGACAGAGTTGTTGCGACAGCGTAAACAACAAGAGCTTGCATTTGTGTAGAGCCTTTATATTCAATAACACATCGCAAGGTGTATTATTAGTCAAAACTTGCTATCCTGTAGTTTTATCCTCAGTAATGCGCTCTAGTATTTCCCCAATGACAGATGTTAGGCTCAGTGACCTCTGGTTTCTTGCTTTGTGATCCTCCCTTTTTGAATACAGATGTCACGTTGGTGGCTTTCCAATCCAGTGGGGCTCTCCTGGAATCCAGTGGGTTCTGGAATATTTTGATCAATGCCTGCACTAGCTCTGCAGCCACTTCCTTTTAAAACCCTTGGATGCAGGCCATCAGATCTTGGTGAATTGTCTGCCTTCTGTCTTCGGTGTATTTGTCAATTTCATTTAAAGAAAGGTTCATTAACTTTTAACTTCTCTGTAAATTCACTGAAAGCATTCTTGATACAACATAGCAGCATTTGTGGTATTGCATCTTATGTTATGGTGAAACCTTCTCTCCAAGTGATTCAATAATTTGAAGCCGAACGAAAAAGTGCTGAAGGTACTCAGTACGCCAGCAGGACCTGTGGTGAGAAACAGAGTTAATGTTTCGGTTCCAGTTCTCCCCCTTCCCCCCCCCCCCCCCCCCCTCCAAAAGGGTCTGATGAAGGGTCACTGAATCCAAAATGCTAACTCTGCTTTCTCTTTACAGAAGCTGCCAGACCTGCTGCGTTTCTTCAGCAATTTCTGTTTCTGTCTCAGATTTCCCAGCATCTGCAGTTTTCTACTTCAGTTATTTGAAGTGCTTTTTCAAATGATTCACAGCAACCTTTTATGTATTTCATAAAGCATTACGGGATGTAGTAAGCGACCTGACATTGAGTTGTAGATCAGTAAAATAAAACAATATTAGCTTGTGAGTTTTTAGCACTTCGTGTTGCTTGTGTGTCAGAGATTTCAAAGAGCAGTACTGATGCTGTGTTGACTTAATCACAGACTGATTAATCATTCCAAAAAGCTGATGGATAAAGAGGAGAAACTGTGCATTAAAATTCTTCAAACTCTGAGAGAAATGCTCAATCGGAAGGATGACTTTGGAGAAAAGGTGAGTTCATGTTGTTTTATTTTATCTGGAGGCCCTGTTGATGTAGCAGTGAGAGTCTAAATGATTAGTGGCTGTGGTTCCTCACAGAGCTGGTGGTTAGGTTTAAATGTAATTGTAATTACATTTTCCAAACTTAGAAATCGGACACCCTGGCCTCACATTGACCGATTGTTCTAACAAAGCTTTTTCCTGCTGTTATTAGACTTCTGAATGGACCTCTCAAATTTCAAATTTAATGTTCGTCTTGCTTTTTGCACACCTTCTTTGCAGCTGTAACTTTGTATTCCTCACCCTGCTCTATCACCCTGTGACCTTTTGTATGGTATGATCTGCTTGTGTTGCACGCAAAACAAAACTTTTCACTGTACCTAGGCATGTGACAATAATAAATCAAATCAAAGTATAAAGTCATTCTGCTTGTGTTTGAAATATCAGTTGCTTGCAAGAAATAGAAGGATCTGTAACTTGGGACCTTTTTGACAACCAATAAACTTCACCTCACCGCCAGTAATAGCCAAACCACTCCTTCTGGAAAGTCAAGAGGTCAAAGAGCAAAGCAAACATTTTTCATAGGGATTAGGAGCAGCAGTACGCAGTTCAGCCCTTCGAATCCTCTCCGCCATTTATCATGATCATGGCTGTTCTTATCCTGATCTCAACTCCACTCTCCCACATACTCCCCATAGCCTGCTTTTCATCAAAACATATCTATTTCTTTTTTTGAATTTGTTGGCTGATTCTGCCCCACCTGCTCTCTGGGGCAGAGAGTTCCACAGGTTCACAACCCTCTGAGAGAAGTAGTTTCTCCTCCTATCGCCTCTCACTCTATATCTATGACTCTTGTTCGAGACTGTCCCACAAGCAGGAAACATCTGTTCAATGTCCAAACGTCAGTGACATTTCATTTGTTATATTCTTACCAGCTGCTTGTATAGCTGTGCTCCCGTAAGGGAGAGGGACAACTGGTGTTGTTTTAACCTGATAGTCACCATGCCTCAGGCGAGAGTCCTTTAATGGTAAGCTTAGCCGCTGTGGGGAATTGAACCTTCGCTGTTAACGTGACTCTGTATTGTAAACCAGCTGTCCGACCAACAGAGCTAAATGCACCACCCCGATGTAACAGGGACAACTCTTAATTCCGATAAACAGCCCCGTCACTCCTCCCATCTCATTCAAGCTCAACCTCTTCCAATTTAAACTGTTGGTCTTGATCATTAGAGCCAGGAGCAGGAGTGGGCCATCTGGCCCATCTAGCCTGCTCCACCATTCAATAAGATCATGGCTGATCTTTTTGTGGACTCAGCTCCTTTCACCCACCCACTCACCGTAACCTTTAATTCCTTTACTGTCCAAAAATCTATCTATCTTTGCCTTAAAAACACTCAACGAGGTAGCATCAACTGCTTCACTGGGCAGGGAATTCCATAGAATCACAACCCTTTGGGTGAAGAAGTTCCTCCTTGACTCAGTCCTAAATCTGCTCCCCCTTATTTTAAGGCTATGCCCCCTGATTCCAGTTTCACCCATCAGTGGAAACAACCTCCCTGCTTCTATCTTATCTATTCACTTCTGAATTTTATATGTTTCTATAAGATCCCTCCTCATTCTTCAAATGAGTCTCGTCCCAGTCTACTCAATCTCTCCTCATGAGCCAACCCGCTCAACTCCAGAATCAACCTAGTGAACCCCCTTCAGTGCCAGTCCATCCTTTCCCAAGTAAGGGAACCAAAACTGTACACAGTACTCCAGGTCTGGCCTCACCAGCACCCTATACAGCTGCAGCATAACCTCCCTTTAGCAATGAAGGACAATATTCCATTTCCCTTCTTAATGATGCACTTGCATTTGTATATAACCTGCAATGATGTGCAAAGATGGCAAATAAAAAGGAATGGGCAAGTGGGAGACAGAAAGCGTAGTTACAAAGCTGTGTTTTGAATGTTGTTATGCTTTGAAAGAGATTTTGAGGGAATTGAGTACAGGAGCTGTAAGGACGGGATGGAAGGAGAATGATCAGTTATATAAGAAGCTAGAGGGCTTGTGCGTTATATACATAGGATGGAGAGGGATCCCTGCAGTTTAATCATAGAAGAGCTCACTGCTCTGACCCACAATTCTCCCTTTGCCAAAGTCACACATCCTCCTGCCCTTCCTACGATGATGCCGGTGGAATTGCACTGTGCAAAAATCAGCTGATACATTTTACTTACAGTACAACAACACTTGAAACAAATACTTATAACCAAGCCTTGTACTTTAGAATGTCCTGAAGTTGTGAAAGGTGCTATAAAAATGCAAATTGTACATAGATAACAAATATATAAATGCAAAAAAAAATGAGTTGGATCGCTCCATTCTAGCTCCTAATTTTGTGCCTTGCTTTTGTTACTGTTGTAATTTTACAATTTCAATAAACCTTTACCTGGCTATGGAAAAATAAATACAAATCTCTCTGTTACAGTAATTTAGGAAGCATTTCAGCAAGGATGAGTTTGGCAGTTATTTCCATCTGTGCATTTTTCTTGTCTCAATCCGTAATAAGCAATACAGCAGCTGGTCAGGTGCAGTGTTACACAGCGGCTGATTCAAAAGACATTTCGCTTGAACCAAACCCCAAGCTGCCTGCATTGGGCACACGGATATCGAATTCGTCAAAGAAACTGGCTGGCCGCTGCAAAATCGAGTTTTGGAACAAAAACAAAAAACATCCCAGAATGAGCAAAATCAAGATCACCTCGGTAGAGATGGCTATTTTATTGACCACTTTTAACAAGCAAAGTGATGAAAGGAGGTTAATGTGAAATGCAGAATGCATGATGTGTCAGTATTTCTCTGCAAGCCTGCAGCCTGTATGCCAAAATACTGTGAAGTGAACTTTTGCCCAGTATATATCCCTTGGGCTTATTTTTGGCTCTGAGAGCCAGTTTTGATTGCTGTGATTTCGAGAGAGAGAGTCCTGCAAGAGACCAGCCTTGTGTTTAATTTCCCTGTGGTAGTGCGCGCACACACAGGAACTGTAATCTAATGAGGACTCCCCTGTGAAACTCATTCACCTCCCACTCATTATTCAGCCTGTTTAAGAATTCTCTGTGAGCTACTGCCTTTGCATTTTAAAAGGGACTCGTAATTTTAACTCTTGGCTACCAAGAGAAAAAGTGCAAATTGGAACATGCTTCCCTTGAGCATCTCTTCCCAACTCCGATGAAAGCTTCATAGAATTTACAGTGTTTACTGAATGGCACAGGCCATTCAGTCCAACCATTTCATGCTGACCCTCCTCCCATTCTGTTCTATCACACCGCACCGTTATGGTGTAGGCTGTAGAGTTTACTGCCTGACGGCATGTTTTACTTTTAACAGCGTTTAACTTTTACCTGAAACTGGCCATGCCAGCAAAAAACTTGAAGTGCAAAGGTGCGTTTCCATGACTATTTGAGCTAGTTGAGAAGAGCATTGCTAGAACCTGCTGTATTCCCAATTTGGATAGGTTCATATAGCAAAGTTCCCTCCTAATTGTGAATATGTTTAACACTGTTGCCTAAAGTTAACTCCCTGTGGATTATTGGATTTCTGTGAAGAACGTTTTGAGAATTATTTTTATTTAAATGCTAAGGAATTCCAATACCCCTCTTACTTGCTTGCCCCCTTCTTTATATCCAGGGAACAAAATCCTGAATGCCTTCTATCAGCTACAGCATGCTGCAATTTTGGGAAAGTAATTAAAATCACGCTAAAATGATTGTAACAAACACTACTGTAGAATGTTCAACATCTTAGGACCTTGAGTTGCTGTAAGGCTCCCCGAAGAGTGCAAAGTGAGCGATGATTTACTCAGATTTTGTTTTCGAACTGCAGATTTTGGGGAAATGTAAAGGGTTAATGGTTTGTTTGAAGGGATTCTTTGTATCATGGAGCAGTCGTTGCTTGAAGATTTCAGTCACCAGCCTGACCATTGTCCCTGAGGAGCAGGAAAGTTCTCCGAGTTCTATTCTGGCCGAAACACGGCAGCACGGACTGCATGTGTCCGCTAATTCCTTCAGACTGTGAAATGTGCTGCCCTTGGGGAAAGCACCATCACCTGCTGTGCAATGAGCTGGAATATGGTTGACCTTTCCACGAGCTCTCACTTCTAAGCAAAAGGAAGACTTGTCTTCTCTAAAGGACCTTTTTAAGGACCTTGAGATGTCCTTTACAGCAGCAAAGCACTCTGGAATTCTAGTTGGTGTTATAATGCCAGGCAGGTAATCTGCTCGTGGTAAGGTGTCACTGACATTAACATGGTAATGACCAGGCAGCCTGTCCCTGTGCTGCTGGTTGGGCGATCAAACTTTGGCAAGAACTTGCCAGCTCTTCCTTCAAAGCTGCTGCAGGATCTTCCCCGTCAACTGGAGAGAATGGATGAACCCTTGGTTTAATGCCTCAGCTAAAAGAGAGTGCAGTGGCATGCAAACCTTCAATCTTTACATTCAGCGAAATATTGTAATCTTGGTCAAACACTAGTAATTTCTTTGAAGCAATCCGAACATCTAATTATTTACGGAAGGATTGAAACCAGGCAGTTCACTGTTTAAAACAAAATGACTTTTATAAACCAAAAATCTAAAGTATGAATGCTAATAATGACTCTATCTTAAATAGTCAGTTACATTAATATTAAAATTACAATTGACACAATTACATACAGTTGTGTACACAGTTACATTTGCTATAAACTAAACTTCTTAACTCAAATTTCCATCTACACCCATTTCACTCACACACCAAAAAGGTCAGCTTGGATGCAGGTCAGAAATTGGAAGATTAACCACTTGGTCTGAGAACATTTACAGATATTTGTATAAGGGTTGGAAATTATTGGGTCTTCTGCATACTTCTAGCAAGTTTGCCCTTCCGATCTCCTCCAACCATCCTGTGGTTATAGGCTCCCAGCTCAACTCAGGCATTGCTAGCATCTTCGACATAGTCACCTTGGGTCAGAAATCTCTTGCTTCTGAAATTCCTCAACTCTGGAGTCTCCCACCTAGGACATCTATCTCTTTTTGATGATTCCAGAACTAGGTGTTAATCGAGTCCTTAAATTTCTTCTTTTGACAACTGAAATTCCTTTTTTTATAGCCAGCATGCAGAATTCAACCAAATTCTGCTTGATTGAAATGTTCTCATCTATCAGCTTTTTCAAAACTAAATTGCCTGTGTAACACAACCACACGTGCAAATCTACAGCCCCGTACCCCCTTTCTTTTGATTGCTGATTCCCCAGGCAACTTAGTCACATAGTCAGTTCCCAGAAGCAAGTTTCTTTTCATTGCAGTGAATCATCTTTCAGAGAAATCTAACTTTTCAAAGGACCATTATCCACAATTCGAAAGGAAGGTGTTTTTTCCAAAAGCACGTGGGCTATCTCACAGATCTCCAGATTTTTGTACTTTTCCATGGAGTGGTTGTTCAAAATACATTTAAGCAATGTGTTTCTTTGTTAGCTGTCCCACTGTGAACTACTTTTCCAATTTCCAATTGAACCAGAAGGTATATCCAGTTAAGGGCATTGCCTCTGCTGAAATATTTGCATTATTTTGGATTATCAAGCGATTTGAATTGTTGGGAGGTGGGTATTGTATGTGAGTTGGGTATTGTATGTGAGTTTTAACCCACCTTGGATTAGCAGTTGTGGTGCAGTGGCTAACCCTCCTTGCTCTGGGTCAGAATGTTATGGGTTCACTGCTGCAGGCTCCTCAGCTCGAGGCCCAGGCTGACACTTCACTGCAACACCTTTTGGAGATTGTTGTCTATGGCCAAGACTCCCTTTCGAGGTGGATATCAATGATCCCACTACAGCAATTGAAGGACAGACATGACCTGGTCCATGTGTACGTTCCTGTGCCATTACTGTGTCAGCCCCATATAGAATCATAGAATGCGGACAGTGTGGAAGCAGACCATTTGGCCCATTGAGTCCACACCAACCCTCTGAAAAGCCTCTCACTCAGATACACCCCCTCCCCCACTTACCCTAACCCGGTAACCCCACATTTCGCATGGCTAACCCACCTAACCTGCACATCCCTGAACACTACGGGCAATTTAGCATGGCCAATCCACCTAACCTGCACATCTTTGGACTGTGGGAGGAAATCGGTGCACCTGGAGGAAACCCACGCAGACACAGGGAGAGGGTGTAAACTCCACGCAGACAGTCGCCCATGGAATCGAACTCAAGACCCTGTCACTGTGAGGCAGCAGTGCTAACCACTGAGCCACCGTGCTACCCACCAAAATGTTTCAGTAAATATTACATTTGTAAATATTCATTTGGCAAGTTCTCAGAGCCAGTTCAATATGGGTGTAGATTATTGCTAGCCAAGTGTTATGAGACCTGTTTACACTGGGAACATTTTGGGTGTTTGCATGGTCTCTGCTTCAAGTGAAGGCACTTCAGTCTGTGCCCCTTTAGTTCACCACTTGAGAGTACAGGATGGGGGTTAAATGACCTCAAACCACTGGAAAGCTAAATCTTCTTCTCGGACACGCTGAGATTTCCAGTGTCGAGCATCCCATTGAGAACAGAAACTGTGCAGGGCAGCACGGCGTTTCACTGGTTAGCACTGCTGCCTCACAGCGCCAGGGACCCGGCTTTGATTCCAGCCTCGGGCGACTGTGTGGAGTTTCCACATTCTCCCCGTGTCTGCATGGGTTTCCTCCCACAATCCAAAGACGGTATTTTTGTTGTGATAAATAGGATGAAAGAATGATAAATGTATGAAAGGTCCATATTGGACACTTCTGCCGGACATTAGTACAGAGCTGGTTGATAAATTTGGCAGACTCCACGCTAAATTGCAGCGTTCATGAAGAATTTGCTGACCTCCCGATCTTATCATTGCATTCTAAAGATGGGTGCGGTTTCTCAGTAAGGTTTTCCGTTGGGAAATCTTGGAAAAGGCCTCACCAAATGTGATTGCATCCTCATCAAATTTACCTCTGTGAGGAAACTGCTGCCAAAAGGAGCTTTACAGATTATGCAAACTCAGCTCTTGTACAGTCTCTCTCCATCCATCCCAGGAAGCTGTTTCAGGCAAGGTCAAAGGCAATCTCCTGATATAGAACAGGAGTGGACAAAACCCTTACTGAATCAATTTGATCCCACGCTTCAGAATCTGTACCTCCAGCCGTATTTCAGCCTTTAATCTATATCCCTAGATACTTCAACTGTTTAAAAAAAATTGTTGATCACAGTTTCCAAAACCTGAATCAAAAATGCAGCTTTTGGTTATTTGCTTACAAGCAATCCCCCAACCATCTTTGATTTTTAAAACTGTTCTTTTCTCATTTCAGTTCTCAATTATAAAAAGCACAAAAATAAAACAACAGTTAATTACTCTGGATTATTAATATTTTAACTGTATTGACATAATTAGATTTCATGATTACATCACTTGGTTGTCCTGAAGTTATCACAAGATTTGGGCGACTTCGAATGCTAGGGGAATCCTATACGCTGTCAGCAAATAATACTCCCTTAGATCCCTATACGTTCCATTCTCACAGTTAACCAAACCTACAGCCCTTCCATGTCAGCCCCATTGCATTGCTCGGTTTCAGCTCTCAATGGGATGCTCAGCACTGGAAACCTCCAATATGCCCACGAAGAATATTTATATTTTCCCAGATTTTAACTATATTTTATGTGGAGAGAAAAGTGCTTCCTGAGGTCTCCTGCTATAGGAAAGATGTTGTGAAACTTGAAAGTATTCAGAAAAGATTTACAAGGATGTTGCCACGGTTGGAGGGTTTGAGCTAAAGGGAGAGGCTGAATAGGCTGGAGCTATTTTCCCTGGAGCTTCAGAGGCTGAGGGGTGACCTTATGGAGGTTTATAAAATCATGAGGGGTGTGGATAGGGTGAATAGCCAAGGTTCCCAGGATAGGGGAGTACAAAACTAGAGAGCATAGGTTTCAGGTCAGAAGGGAGAGATAACAGGGACCTATGGGGCAACATTTTCACACAGAAGGTGGTGCATATGTGGAATGAGCTGCCAGAGAAAGTGTGGAGATGGGTACAATTACAACATTTAAAAGGCATCTGGATGGGTACGTGAATAGGAAGGGTTTAGAGGGATATAGGCCAAATGCTGGCAAATGGGGTGAGATTAATTTAGGATATCTGGTTGGCACGGACGAGTTAGACCAAAGGGTCTGTTTCTGTGCTGTCTCAACTCAATGACTCCCAAATAACCTTTGCTGTCACTTTAAGTTTCGCCCCCTTTCTCTGAACTTGGCCACTGGAGGAAATAGCTTTTCTGTCAAGATCATCAATTTAAGGACCTCAGTCGGGCAAGTTGTCTGTCTTGAGCCTGCCTTATTGCAGGCAAGGTCTATTTTCATGAACTTAACTGCTACAGTTTCCTTGCCAGGATAGATACTTGGCTGAGGGAGAAAACCGGCTTGGGATATCTCCCAAGGGATATGCCTCTGTACTGGTCGATTCACCACTCTTCCCCCTTGGGAAGTGCTTTTCCCCTCCCAATTTATGCAGGCTGGAGACCACACTTACTGTCGCCAGTGACTGGGTTAAATGTGATGGTGCAATATTCATTGTTCAGAACTTTTCTTGATTAGCTCCCCCCTTCCACCCACAGCTTGAGATACCCTGTTGGGTTTGAAAACAAAGAAAGAAATGCAGGGCCAATTCTAACTGAGCACACAGATAGATGCAATGCTGCTGGGAGAGGGAGTTTGGAGTTGATATTCAGCATCCAGTGAATGCATGGAGCTCTGTAAAAGGCAAACTTCATGAATCTTTGTTCTGAGGAAGTGTCAGGCTGGACTCGAAACATTAACTCTGTCTCTCTTTCCACAGAAACTGCCAGAGCTGCGGAGTTGCTGCAGCATGGTCTGTTTTTAATCTGTGAATTGCTAATTTGATTATGTTGTCCCAGTTTGGCGTGCTCGGAAATGAGTGATAGTTTACACATGAACAACAAACCTCTTCATGTCACAGCATCATTGACAGAAGCAGGAATCATCCTTCATGGGCAGTGGTACCACACACTAAACTTTAAAGCGCTTTTTCTTCAAACGTTTCTGTTTATTTTAATCTGTTCTTTTAAAGGGCACAGTTTTAAGAAAGATCCTTCTGAATCGCTACTTTGGGAACCTTCGGAGTGTCTATAAAGGAGATGGACACAGCGGCAGCATTAATCCCCCATTAACAGCAGGGGGTTACTCCAAGTCTACACAACCTGGAGGTAAATACAAGACAGATAGTCAAAAGGTAGTGTTGAAAATGATAGAAATAGGTTTAGATGTAGGCAAACGTAAAAGCAAGAAATTGATCTCGGCTTGCACTTGTTTTCCTGTGAAACCAAATCGATGGGTGGTCCTCGTGAATCAAAGGTCAAGGGTTCAAGCCTCGACACCAGATACTTAAGCTTGAAGTCAGGCTTGACTCTGTCAGGGCAGCGCTGAGGGAGGGCTGCATTGGCAGAAATGCCACTTCTTGGCAGAGATGTCAAACCGGATCTCCATCTGCCCTCTCAGAAAAGGCTAATAGCTGCCACAACACCATTCACAGAATAGGAGGTGGGAGTTAGATCCAGGACTCTTGGCTCAGTGTAAAACCATTTAAGTTTGGTTTTATTTTTGAAATAGTAAACTTTTCCAAACATTTTGTTTTTGCCGTGACTTGTCCAGTGGCCTGATGCAGCCTGTATCCCGCAGTTTGCCAGGAAATTCACCTGCAGCCTATGCCTATCAGGAAACTCAAAGCAAAGAAAGACTTAGGATTTACATTGTGGGGAATCTGTGGTGCAGTGGCTGTACTTTACCTCTGAGGCAGTAAAACCCAGGTTCGAGTTGGAGGTGTGAGAAATGGGGAACGTGTGGCCTACTGGTTATGTCCCTGGACTAGTAATCCAGAACCCCAAGGTAAATGTTCTGGGGTCACGCTTCAGACCTCACTGTGACAGATGGGTGCAATCTGAATTCAATAAAAGGTGAGCTTAATGATGATCGTGCAATCACTGTCAATTATTGTTTAAAGAAAAAACACTTGGATCACCAATGCCCTTTAGGGAAGGAAATCTGCCCTCCTCACCGGTCTGGCCTAGATGTGACTCCAGACCCACAGCAGTGTGGTTGACTCTGTACTGCCCTCTGAGCATTTAGGGATGGGCAATAAATGCTGCCCTCACCAGCGACATCCTTGTCCCTTGAATTAAAAAAGAACTGGTTGATTAAGACATGCCAAAGGGCTTAATGGGCTGTTAAGTGTTTTTTGAATGATGTCACTGGTACAGTGCAAGAAATGCAGTTGCTAGTTTGTCCACAGCAAGAAACCCGCAGCTGCCAATGTAAGAGAACTTGCAGCAAATGTGTTTCCGGTGATGTTAATTGAGGGATCGTTCCTCGGCAGATCACCAGTTTTTCTTTGATTTGGTGTGCTGGCACTGTTTGCCTGAAGGGGAGCTCAGAGCCTCAGTATGAAGTCACCTCTGAAACCGCACTGCTGGCAGTGTAGCCCTCCCTCAGTACCACACTGCATCACCAGCGTGTAAAGAGGCACTCTGACCGCTTTGGACTCCGAGACCAGGGAGTCATTCCACGAGCTAGGAATGAGGTCAAGATTCTAATCTGGGTTGGCAGGTTGGTGGGGGGCGGGGTATAAAGAGTGGGAAGAAAGTTTAACTCTAAAATATGTAGATGTCACCGCACCATCAGTGGATTCAGACACTGGAGGCCAGGCAGCGTTGTGGGTGGGTGATGTGTCAGTCCCTTGTGCTGGGGAATGGGAGGAGATCTAGTTGCTGTCAATCTGCCACAGTGTAAAGAAAAGTAATTAACTGTCCCACGCAGTATTCGACATGAACAGGGATAGGCATTCAACTTGTTGGAAGAGGCACCCGTATAGGTCCTCCATTAGAAAACTCGGAAAAGGGAGGTAGTGCAGGGAGCAGGTGAGGAAATGAAACTTCGGGGAAAGTGCTCATGGGGAGACTCAATGAACTGATTGGCCTCCCTCTGTGATTCCGCGACCACAAAATGAAGAGTCCAGCTGAAAGCATTTGGTTGCGTTTTCTTGCAGGTGGCAGTTCGTTAGACTCGGACAAGTGTAGGATCTCTGTGTTTGAGATCCAGTGTCACCTTGACCAAGCTGGGGCCTCGGAATTGGTCACTGACCTCATCACCAACACCAAGAACTCCAGCATCTTCGAAGAGAGCATCATGCTAGGCATCGCATTGCTCGAAGGAGGGAACACCCAGATCCAGGTAAGGCACGGTCGCCGATTCCCAGAGCTACGATGCCAAGCCATGCCAACCCGCCCACCCACTGCTAATCCATCTGTTTTCAAATCTTAGTTTTCATTCCACCGGCAACTCAACATGCTAAAGAAGTCGGAGAAGTTCTTCAAAGTTTTATACGATCGCATGAAACTGGCCCAACAGGAAATAAGGGCAACGGTTTCTGTTAACACCAATGACCTGAGCTGTAAAAAGAAGGAGGACGATTACGATGTTGTGACACCCATCAACAGGAGAAGAGGTAACTGCGTTTCCACCGTGATGGGGCACAGACCGAACCCTTTGGGGGTGGGAAACGGGGGAGTTACTGAGCCTGGAATCTGAGAATGGCCTTGTTCTAACACTTGGATGAGGTTGGTGTGACTGTAGGGAGGTTTTGGATTATTAATACACCAATAGTTAGCTGCTTGTACTTGACTGGCACAGACGGGGTGGGCCGAAGGTTCCTCTTTTTCTGAGCCGTAGACCTCCCTGACTATGTAACTGAGGGTTTCCTCACCCGCGTCCGTGTGACAGATGGCCTTTCAGGGCAGATACTAAAGACCCTGCCTGTCATCTTGGGCAAATATGAAAAGGTCCACACAGAGCCATCGTGGGGCCCTAGAAAGAACTGGAAGCCAGGGTTGGGGGGAGGAGGGGAGACTATTAAGAACAGAGTTATACCAACCAAGGGGGAAAGCGTTGTTTGTAGAATGGAAGGAACAGCTGGAGAGGATTGGGGCATTGGTATGGATCATATAGTGGGCCACAGTGAGATTTACCCCAGCCCCCACACCC